ACGTGGTAACATTTGGAAGAAGGCATTAAGTCATATCTTGACTGCAGTTACTGGCTCGATTTCCAAGCTAATATAAGACGGCTGATTGTTACTTATGCTTACAGCTTTTGTGTATACAAATTGCATTCGATTCTAGGCCGATTCAAGATATTCATTGAGAAGTGACCATTCTTCTTCGTTTAAATAGAATAATCAAGACTCATTAGTATTCCAAATAATGAATCATTTCTGAAATATTTGATTACGGTTTCTCTTTTCAAATCACTCCCCTTATTTATTTTTGGGAAGCAGATATGCATGGGGTTTAGAAAAAATTTGAGCGAAAACCCGGTAGAGATATTTATAAAACACTCTCCACAGTGTGCCTCCATAAGTGCACCTCTTAGCGTGTAGTTCATCATTCAGGATAACAAAGGTATCAATTTCCTTCATCTCATACTTGAATAAAAAATGATAATACACATGATTAAAACTGTTGAATGATTTATATTTGGGCAGAACGAAAAATTTGGAGTGAAAGCTAAAGCTTATCAAGAACCAACTCTATCCTTGTACTTAAACATCACAGTTTGAGATATTTCAATTATTAGCCGGTGTTAAATTCATGAGTAATGACAACACCTATAGACGGTTTCCTTATCACTTATCGAAGAATATGTAGGCCTGAAAACATTGATTACATGTGAAATAACTTGTACATTCTTTTTGTAACAATTAATCATTATAACTCATGATGAAGATGTAGATTTCATAAAACATATCGCAATGACATGACAATCATTTTTCAAAGAATGGATGATAAGATGTGTGCTAAATAATCTTTATTTCTAATGTTAAGAACTCTTCATGATAAATCGTGTGTGAATTTAAAAAATACTTCCTTTAATAATGGTTAGAATGCAATAGTTTATATTTTAATGTGAATGCTTATTTTTTCCCCAAATTTATTTAATAATTCAGTCAGTCTTCATTTTAGATCATTTTTTTCTAAATTGATAGATTTGTTTCTGTTTTTGGAGCAGTTAAGAGATCACGTGAAGAGGAAATTATAAATTAAATAAGAAATTCCTTAACTATGAAAGAAGAAAATACAAGTCTACGCATTTTTGTTATATATATCATTTCGCTCATATCAGGAGTATATTTATCTTGTGCTTGCTTAATGTTCATAAAATAATATAATATGTAATATAATTAATGGTTTATTGATGAAAAGTACTACGAGTTTTAGGAAATTTTTATTTTTATGGATGAAGATACAGCAATCTAGTTTTTCTTGTCATTGAGCTAATGCTTTAATTCGAATGTTTTCTTCCTTCTTCTTCTTTTAACCACAAATGCATCTTTGGTTGGTTTGTATTTCATATATGTACCTCCAATTTATAGATCTGAAAATAAAATGTTTGTTTTTGGAGATAACAATACGAAATTTATCTCATTGTAATTCATTTGTTCTATTATCTCATATTCTTTTCTGGAGTTTTACAACACGGATTTTTCAAAGAAGTTTTTTTGATTAAAGTAAATTTGGAATGAGAAAATTATCATATAATAATACAAAATAAATTATATTTTTTGATGATCATGGATTTTTTCGTAGATAATAAATTTTTGTGATGTTAAACAATTATGATTTTTTGATATTGGAACTTCGAGTAAATACATTTAATTCTACAAAGTCATTGAAGAGAATTTCTTACAAAGTAAATCAGAAATATATGATTCAAAATTCTATGAAAGCCTCTTCATTCATATTGAAAGAAGAAGAAAAAATTATTAATGCATGAGTTACATCTTTCAATTCATGTTCAAAATTCAAAATTCAGTAAAATCTTCATGTATCATTTGTAGACTTGATGAAAATTTATTAGGATAGTCTCCTATAGTACATTATAAACCTTCAGTTAAATAAAAAAAAGAATGAACTTCATGTTTTCATGTTTTGCAACGGTCATTTCCTTAGGTTGCTGACATGCACGTTAGTCAAATAAATAAGTGGAATATCGGCTGCATAACATTGACAAGATAGAATTGTTTCTTTTACCTCTTATTGTCATTCTATCATCTGATGTGAGTTCCACGTATATTTGAAGTTTTTTCTAGCTTATTTTTGTTAATTTTGTTGAATTTGGTTTTGTTTTGTTTTCTTGGCATTACCATGTTGAACATCTTATAATGAAGAATGATGATTGAAATCATAAATTTTTATTTCATTTTGGTATACCGTTGTTCTAAGTCTAATAAATTTTCAAGAAGAAACCATATAAAGAAGTTATAAAAATATCTCTACAGTATATTTTGCATCTGATTGATTTTTTTTTTCAGAATGTTGAGGGAATAGGTAAAGTTTTATGTCATAATACTGGCACATCCAAAACTCCTCATTTGATTTGAAATTTTATAAATTTTAACTCAAATTAGAAATTTTATTTTATTTCTGGTTTCAATCTTGTAATATAAATATAAATATTTATTTTTATATTTATTTTATAAGTTATGAATCTAGTAACAATAGACAATATCATATAAGTGCGTGCCAGTTTAACGACTTTTACGTTGATCGATACTAAATATAAACTATGTCAGTTTTCTCCATGTACATTTGATAAGTGGAAAAAATTATCGATGTGGCAAACATTAGTGTTCTTTACTCAAATTAAAGGTGGAGAATAGAGAGTCCAAGAAAAATCAGCATCCTTCCGAAAGACATAAACTTAAGTTAGCATCAAACTTTTCGTCCAATCCTGCACATAAATCAAACATCTAAATACTTAATCATGAAATCCAATGTCTTATTTCAGTCTACAAGCAATGAAGTTTCAAACTAAAAAGATATGTAGAATTGTCAAGTCTTTGTTAATCTATCGCTAGAGGAACATAATAGTTTAAAAGGAAAATTTTAATATGCTTGGTATATATTTCATAAAAAATGTGTAATACTAGGGGACAATTTTATCATTTCTATATTCATTGCATGTCAGTGTGCTTTCATTGTCTTTTAGAGAGCACATACCAGGATTAGATAGTACAACAATCATGATGAGACATACAACATTCTATTATGTATAAGCAAAAAATAGAAAGAATCATCTACCACAATGAATACATATAAATTGCTTTCATTGAATCATTTATATCAATATAGTGCAGGTTAATGGATGTTTATAAAACTTCACCCAATACACCCATGTGGAAATAATGAATGGCCCTGGTTTCTTTGGATTTGACTGATGTGGTGTACCCGTAAATCCTTTAAACTTACTTGGCCCCCACGTCTCGTAATACTATATTAAGAAGCGAATTGCAAAATTGTACTCTATACGTTATATTGTTACATATGAGAGGTACATCATATCTGAAAAGGTTAGTCTCACAGCAGGATCGTAGGAATAGTTTTGGATCCGTCGGCTATCATCAAGTTGTCTAAAGGAAGATCCCTGGTCAAAGCAGTGGTCAAGGAATTGTCGTCGGTCGAGAATCTCCCACAGCGGCAAAGTCAAGATGGTGTTTGATCCTTATCATAATCTCACATAGTCACATGTAGCTACTTCTGCGTACATCATGTATCGGTATGCTCTAATCTTCACATGCACCAAGGAGACGACGAAAAGATATTTCGCAGATGTAGAAATCTCTCCCAACTAGGGATCTTGTTCTCTTCTCACGTGCTAAGTGTTGCACCAACGTCAAATTTCACATGTCGACCTTCGATTTTCGCATTATTTTGCAAAACTGTATCCACCGGGATTCACGATCTGGTCCCTGGAGAAGAAAATAGGTAAAGAAGTATAATTCTAAACAGATTAGAGAGGGCGAGAGAAAGGAACTAACGTGGGGTCTTCTACCTTTAACATAGGAGATAGAATCGAATAAATAACTACTTGTGACTATCTGTAGGTCCTTCCTCCGGATGATACCAATATAAAGAGATAAAGCACAAGGTCGTGGATGAAGATACTTCCAACTGACAATGATATACAATCACAAGTCCAGATTATTTATATTTTGATGAAATGTTGTAAGTTGATACTCTGGTTAGGATTTTCAAGGCAGCTGTAATAAAGAGAGAGACAAGTCAATCTTAGAAGAGTGTTGGTGCTTATACAGATCAAGCACAAGTCAAGAATGACAATTTAAATTTCTCCCCGAAATGTTATGTTCCCCACTTGTTTCCAACACGAGTGTGGTATATCTAGAGAAACGTTCCTAACGTCATTTAGTTTTTTGGTCTGAAGGTTGCACTGGTCTCGTTCTGTTCCAAATCAAATACGACTGTTTCAGATTAACTAGAAAGTTAGAAGGGCTACGTGAGGTGGAAGTAAGTATTGAAAAATCTGATCTGGATGGTCGAAGTTCTGGATTCGAATCATGTACAGATATTTTTTAATGACATGACAAAGAAGGCTCACTGAAAAGCACCAACACCGAGATTTTAGGGCAAAAATAAGAACTGCACATGAGGAAATGTAAGCCCATGAGTATATAAGGGATGACGTCCGGGGTGAAAACGGTGATGTGTCAGATACGCTGGGGAAACAGACATGGACTCGGGGTAAGTGGCGAAGTCATAAACAAGGGCGAAGCAAGGGACAGTACCAGAGACAAGTACAGTACAGAGGGTGAACGTAGAGGGAACGTAGGGCGACGGAGCAGGCGGTTAAAGAAGAAAGAGAAGAGAAGCGGAGAGTTGAATGCAGGGTGAGACCGGAACTTGTCGTAACGGGTTAGGGAGCGCGGACAGTGCAATGGATGGTTCGGTAGAAGAACACGGAGAGGCAGGGAAACATAAATACTAAGTCAGAGGACGATGACGCACTCATGTCTTTTCTTCGTCTTCTGGTTGCGCTGAGATCTGCATGAATGTACACTAGAGCCTGCTGCTGTTGAGTACCTAGGCGCAGCACTGGGCAGGCAGGCAGCAGCAGCGCCTAGTGGTTGCATTGTTGCAAAATATGCGGGACGGAATCATGGGGCCTGATTGTTGGGAGCGCAGCATGAGGAGATGGGCGACCAATGATGGTCGTCCATCGAGAAATGAATTTTATAGTGCTGTGAAAGAGGAAATGAAAGGCGGTCTGAAGGTGCTGCGTGTCAGAGAAGAGGATGGGTTCTGGCACCTTTTCAGAAGCCAAGCGAAGGAAAGCGGGCGCGGCTCGGGCTCGGGCTCGGGCTCGGGGCTGAAAGGTTTTCTCGGGAGCCGAAAGTACCATGCGGCCACGGGCACGCTTCACCGGCGGCCAGGGGCGGAGGTGGTGCAGTGGCAGGGCAGGGCAGGGCAGTGGTGCATGCCTTGGCTCGGCCGCGAGAGAGATCTAGAGAGAGATGAGGATATGAGCTTGGGCCATAGTTGGGGCGCGGCCAAGACGGGGCCAGAGGAGGCGCCGACGAAAGGCCACGTTGCGCTGACGTTCGGCTTCTCTCCTGAGCAGTTGCAGCGCTCTCTCCTCGCGCTCGAGGGAGCGGAAAGAAAAACAGTATCGAAGGCTCGAATCATGGCCCCGAGGGGGAGGGCGAGGGCGAGGGGAGGGAGGGTGGCCTTGTCTTGGATGGCATGACAGCGGAGTGGAGCTCCTCGAAAGAGGCAGCCGAGGCATATCTATGGGGGCTGCTGGGGCGGGCTGGCTGGCTCGCTGGCTGGCTGGCCGGGTGACGCAGTCCCCAAGGCGCGGCCCCAGCCCCCAGCAGGCCCCACCCCGCGAGCCTCCTCGCATTCCACCAGTCCGTCTATTTCTCTCGGAGGGAACACCAAGACCACTTCTTCCTTTATCAGACATGGACGATCAGATCCGTGGATAACGACTGATCGCCTCTTCTCCTCCCCTCCCTGCGCGCTCATTATTTTCACCGCTTCTTTCCTCCCGTCCCAGGAGGATGGTGTCTTTACTCGGCCTCCATGGGAGTTTATCGCCCGCTGCTTCCGTCCAGGCCAGAGCTCCGGAGAGTTGTTAATGGGATTTCTAACCTCCTCTACATCTGCTTTCCAGACAACAACTGCTTGTGCTTCTCTATTCTAGACACACGTTCTAGTCCTAGTAGGTAGCTAGATCACGGTGTGATGATGATGCTACTCGGGCGCGGTCTGTCTCTTGCCTCCAGGAGCCTGAGCCGAGCCTCCATCTCTTCTCATCGCATCGCAACCCGCAACAAGAGCAGCACGGCATGCGGACGGGTGGCCAATGGCACTAGCTTATTGCGCCACTAACCAGTAGGACTGACATGGCCCCCTGCGCTCCCGGAATGGTCAGGTGGACTGAACCGGAATTGGGTAATGGAGTAGGCATCTTGGCGACCTTACCGCTCGCCTCGCGCTCATATACGTACCACCTGCGGCAAAAAATTACCGCTCAGCGTTCTTCTCGCATCTTCTCGACGCTCGCTTTTCGTTAGCCAGGCCCGGGTGCTTAGATACGAAGAAGATGTCGATAGAGCTGCAGCTGAAACCCTTCTCATCGCGATCGCCATCGACCCGGTTGAAAGGCCCGCCCGTAACATCCTCTAATTCTGTCTCTCTTTCATGAGGATCTCTTCCTTCTCCTTGAGATCCATCTTCTAGCTACATGTCGGAGATGTTTTCATGGATCAATAACGCATGCGCAGACTCCGGAAGCACTTTCTCAACCTTCGTGAGCAACGACAGCATCGTTGCCGGACAAGATTTTGGCCGGATGCTCGGATCCGTCTCTCGTGAGGTTCATCTGAATGAGAAGTCCATGTATAGGCTCATACCGTGGGCAGAAAATGCAATATGCTTTCGACCGGGAACTGCGGAGGGCGGTAATCAGCTTGACGACGCCCATGGTTTTTGGTCCACATATGCAGGTGCCGTTCAAGACCAACAATCTAAGCAACAATCTGCAACATCTAAACTAGATTCAGTTCCTGCAACGCCTCCACTACTCTCTGATATCGTGACGCTGGTAAGCGCAACAACGGACCGTGACAAAGTTGGGCAATTACCGAATGAGTTTGCAACTTTCATTGACAGTCTCCCTATTCCTTATGGTTCCTCGAGCACAGGGATTCAAGGCCAATTTTCTTTCGGGGCCAACTCGACTCTCTCGGCAGCAGTCACAGAGACAGAACCATCAATTAGACCCAAAATAGAAATCGGAAATTCCGAAGCTCACCCTAAACTTAGGGCACTCCATTCTGTGTGCATAGAGGCGAAAGACGATCAGGTGAAGAAGATACTTTCCAAATGCGGTAAGTGGACACAATCAGCGGCGGCTAACAAGTCATTGCAGTGGACCACCGTAGGGTTAGAGAAACCCAAAGTCCACGGACGAACAAAGGGGGATTTGTCAAAGAAGACCGAAGGGCCAGGAAGACAGCATCACAAAAGTTTTCGTCCGGTGCCGTCCGAGAAAGCTGAGCACGTGCAGAGGGAACGCGAACGGAGGATTCAGTTAAGAGCAATGTATAAAACACTGGACACCTTGGTACCTGCTCAATCTAGGGTATGTTCTCTCTCCTCGGTAAAGCGATGCATTTGCACTGCTGAACCTGCTGCTGCCTGCGGCATTTTGTTTTTGTTTATGTTTTTTTTCTCTCTCCTGCTTGCACAGAACTTGATAATCTATACAGGAGAAACATATTTTATCAGCTTCCCTCTACGTGCGAGAATTAATAAATGTCGAGACCGTTAGGATTTTTTTCTGAACAAACGATGAGGTTTATTCTGTTGAATGACGCTGGTCTTCAGCGTTGAGAGGATATGCAACACTGCGCTTTAGGTCACTGAGCACTGGCACGGCTGGTTGGGGAATTAGTGCTGAGAAGAACAAGTCTCTCTCTCGTGTCTAGTGTCTTGAACAGTTAGAGATGAACGCGAAGCAAATGCTTATCTGATCAGACCTAAATACCAGCTATCATTTGTGATTCCTGGGTCGGTGCAATCTAACGGACAAGGGTTTAGACTCATTTATGGACATTTTGCAATCGAATTCAAAACGTATGAGTAGCCGAGTCTTGTCCTTAGTAGATATCGTCTCCGTCGAGTATCAGTGAACGAACTCCAGAAATGCGTTCTTCTTTAATTGCTTTTTAGTACTAGTAGTAGTGGAGGTTTGTAATGCACTACTGTTCGATGACGTTGCATGCCTCTAACTGCAACATGTCTATGAAATCTCTCATTGTCAAAAGACAGCAAAGCGGGACCGAACGACAATTGTCAACGATGCCTTGAACTATGTGAAAGAGATGCGTAAGAAGTTGGAGATGCTGCAAGCTTACAAGTCAAAGCCGGTCATGTCACTGGCCTTATCTGAGCTCATTGCCCAGAATATTGAAAAGAGAAACAATCAAGCATCACAGCTTATAACATCCGGCGTCAGAGGAAAAACATCATCTCCAACAAGCAATTCCACGGTTGATATCGAGCACACGGAGGGGGATATCGGGACTGATGGAACCGCTGGCGACACTTCAGTTGTACTTGTGACTCCTGAGGTCAACGTCTTTATGGCTTCTAGTGATCAAGTGGTGATCAACATAAATTGTGGGCCGAGGCCCGACTTACTCAGCAGGATACTGAAGGCACTGGATCTCCTACACCTCGATGTCTCCCACTACACGTTCAGCAGGCTGTGCACACAGTTCGTGAACTGTCATTTCGCGGCAAAGGTATGCTTCTTAATTGAAATCATTTGTAATGTCATTGGTCGCACAAGTATATCATTTTGTCCGTGGTGGAGCTCAGTAGGAAGTGTGATATTAGTGGCATTCATTTCTCAAAGTGTAATTTATGTAAGCAAAAGAATTCGGACTACGTACCAAAAACAATGTGAATACCTGCGAAATACGAATTATACACCTGTATTGCAAACGTTTTTGCGCCGAGTAAACTGTGAAAAATGAATCCAGATTGATGTTGAAGATTTCGTACACAAGAATCCTGTTGAATCATGTTTCGAAGGGTTAAGGTTTTTTCAATCCTTCAGTAATTCAAGAAGGAGGTCCGTGGAAGATAAATCATCACTTCGATCAATAATTGTCCCAAAAATTGAGTTCAACATTACATTCGTGACGTATGCCATTCTGTGACGATTCTCATGTTTCTACGACAAAAAATGTTCACAATTGGAAAAATCAAGCAGCAAGGAAAATCTGGGTGTGAACTGACCAGTAGGGTATGCTCAATATGTCTTTCTAATTCTGCACGAAATTTCTTGATGTCTGGAGCAGATCAGAACGAGTGCTGATACTACCCGTCTAACAGAAATCATCACGGAAGTACTTGGTGACTCACTTGTATAAAGGCAGCTCGGAGTCTGCAGATAATACCTGAATCATCGAGACTACGAAGAGAAAGCGAGTATGCAGCGTATGGAAGCGGGACGTGTTGAAAGCATCTGGTGAACTGGGAGGTAGACGCTTAGCATATTCTACAGATAGTCACCAAGTCAGTCTCATCCAGCTCTGCTGACTTCAAGCTTAGTCCGTGGAGAGAACCTTCTGAATATAAAATATGCCTGCTAAAAGAATGGAGAGGACCCTGTTAAGTGTGTTGGGACTGGACATCGGTGTATATGCTTCGCAAGTCTATAGTGAGAGTGCTTCAGAGTTTCATCAAATCAGAATAGATTTTCAGTAGAAACTGTTGAAAGCCAGCATATAGCTACTTTTTGCATTTGAACTTTGCGATTCACAGTCGCATATGATCGTATAAATAGGCGTTGTAAAGGTCAGTATCTAGCGTCGAATGGTTTACATTCTATGAATTCGTAGACATGCTTTCACTTGGATATTAAGTGGCAGACATTTTAAAGCCCTTGAGTGTGAAATCGATAAACCCGAGCTGAATGCAATTCAGCATATTAGAAATTTGTTTTTGGATTATAACTTTCAAGAATTTGTCGTCATCACATCTCTCGATTGCCCGGCTCCTCATTTGCTGGGTCATATCCAGGTTTTCATTTCACGAATGCAGGCATCTTGCATTATCTGGTCGTATTTCTTGACGTCGGCCGGGGGCTCGGCAAATTCCTGCATATTGCATCCACGTTGTTCTCGTCAGGTGCATGAGACGTTTCACATCCAAGTTCAAAGCATGCAAACCCACGTAATGTTGTTAACTGATCTTGAACGGTAAATATGAAGGCCGAATTCAAGAGGCTAGGAAAGCACTCATGTCAGGATCCAGAGATGTAATCTACAGCAATATACTGAATGCGCGTCACCGTTCGCAATCGTAGTGGATGGTGAAAAGCTTGGTACCTCTCATATATGCAGTAAGATCATCATGCCAGTAAACAGGAAATTGGGTAAGTTGGGCTCTCGGTCAGGTCATAATTCCAGATGACGAGCTAATTTGAATCTCAGCCTGCACAAATCAATGGCACATTTGAGATTTGTAAGTGTGGCGCAGCCATATTCCCTTTGATATATGTTGACATGTAAGATACAGATAGTACCAACGGTGTTTCCGGTCAAGGATGCCTGTGGTATGCGTGGATTGAATATCGTGACGTGCCCCTATGATTGAACCGTCACCTTCACTTCACATACCATAGCCGCATTTAGTTCAGATGCTGTAATAAATTCATTCGCAGCAAGTGATATGACTTGCTAGCTCTCGTCCCATGGCCTCGTCGGGGACTCGTCGTTCACGTATGCAAACAGCTTCCACTGATTGTAGAAATGAACTATGAATGAATGACAACAATATGTCATTTAGATTGATCCAAACTATTAGTCGATATCTGGATGCTGCATCATATAGCGTGCGCGAACGTATAATGAACCCCCATACAAACCCCGAAACTCCGACCTCCGTGCGCAGCTTGTAGAAGCTTTCCAATTCGGTGAAATTCTGTTGTAAGTATGATCTCAAAACTTCCTGGCTATGAAAGCTTTTGCTTAATGTTAAGGTGGGGCGTTCACGTCGCTAATTTGGTAAGGTGCTCAGTAAACCCGATGAGAGTTTGAAGAAGTTTTGGGCCATATCTTGAAGGGAGCGTTCAAGTGAAAGTCAAAACCGGAGCCTATAGTACTCTACTGCGCTCACTGAATAAATTTTCTGGTCGAATTCAGCTACCGTAGTGTATGTACCAAGCCTATGCGACGCTAGGTGATCCTGTGGATTGATTGTTCCGTTCATGTTGGAATAGAAATTTTCTTCATAAAGTACTTGTGTCAGGATGCGTGTCCTCACTCCGAATCCATTCACGTACCCCTTTTTCAGACCTTCGGAAGAATCAGATTCGCAGCAAGTGCCAAAAAGCACTTGTTCAGCAGAGATAGTCTGAACGCCAAGTAAAAACACAGACGCATGCCGAGACTAAGCGCCAGGATGTTCGCTGGTTCGAGGTTCAAATCACGTTCCGTTCGAAGGACTCGTCACACCTGATCAAAAAACTTTTGGTGGCCACGTACCATGTTCAATGATCCACGTCTGACTCGGCTATAATTCTCATTTGTATATTAGGCTGCTTGCGAATGGACGAGACCATCTGATGCATAGCATCGCCCGGTCAGAGGGAAGCTGCGCAAGCCAAACGTTGGGGACTATGTTGAAGTGGTGACGGGGTTCCCTCCGCCTGTGAATGGCTGTGTTGGAAAGAATCTCTCCTGCGCAAAAGCGAGCGGAATCCAGAGGTTAACGCTCGACCCTCCACTGCAACCTGAGTCGGACGGGGGTGGCACATTCCGAAGCTCGCTCTCACTGAATCCCGAATTGACAGATCTAATTACGCTCCATTCGCTCTATAATTGAACATCGACGCCGGGTTGTGAAGATGCGAGAGAACTGCATGCCAGAACAATCGATTGGTTCAGACGTCGACTAAGGATATTTACGCGGAAGTCGCTTGAAAGCTGAAGTCATAAAGTGACGCTGGACACGTGAGCAGTCCTGGCTATAGTAACTTGCACGATGGATGCAGCATCGGACGCTGCTAGCTAGAACTCCGCTGACTCACCCAGTCACCAAATGTGTCTAGTTTCTTCAGCGATCTTGAGCATTCGCGAGCTCTCAAGTATCATATGGTGGAAAAGCCTCCAAACAGGACAGACACTTTACCAGCGGTACAAAACTGCTTCACAATCCTTTGCAATGAATGACAGGTTCAGGTTCAGGGTCAGGCCCTCTGACCATACCCAGACAAATGCGTTGCGTCCCCCACCGTTTCAAGTCTAGAGAAAGCTTTCTCTTTTCGTAGTACGCACTCCCGGTCAGAAGTGACATCAGTCTCGAGACAATGACCAGATCATCATCGCGTCAGCTAGTGAGCTATACTCGCGCTTATCCGATTTAAAATGTTCTGGTCTTGACCCATATTACTGTGCTCAGCCGATCTGTGCATCCGGTTCCATGCTCGATAATATGTTGCTATTACTTGCAAGTCTGAGACAAACAGTGCTGTAACTTTATTAACTTTAAGCATGCACATATATTGTATGTTCAGTCCCAGGAGAAGCGTCTAGTTGACTTTCTTCTATGGAGGTGAGATGATACTTTGGAACGTACTCGCGCACTCTCTCCGTGTACATGAGTGGCCCTACACGGCTGGGTGGCTACAAACGCCTTTGAAGGTCCGCAGAAGAAGGTCCGCAACTCTTTATCTTCCGCACCTCGCTCCTCAGTGGTCCATCTACGAATCCGTTTGCCTATTGGCTTCGGCGAAAGAAGGCATGAGCAAAAGCTTCTAGCTCCCTTTCATGAACATGCCAAGCATATGATCATTTTCGAGAGATATGCCCTCGACACCCACCTCGAGCTCCACTTTTGGAATATGGAGACACCTGGTTATGAGAAGACCTGTCGCCACACTTTGTCACATATCAGGTGTACGAACTAGAAATTTGTTTCAAGATCAGTTGGATCTACAACCAAAAGTCGTATTTACTGTGCATAGCTTACTGCAACACGCATATGAAATGTTTCACAACACGATGATCACGCTTGAGTCTAGATCTTGTGTTGGTTTCAGGCTGTTGTCATCAATGATGCTGTCCTCTCTGAGCAGACCCAATTCTTATGTTTTCCGATTCATAATCAGTTGTCATGAGTGGCTACAACGTGTATGCATATTGTGGTTCAAGCCTCGAGCTCCAGACCTTGAATGGAAGTCTACACTTGAACGCTCAGACGTAATAAGGAGCTTATGATTATTTTTCCATCAACAAGCGTAAGGTCAAACTACCCTCAGTCATTTCACCGGATTACTTGCTACATATATTTTACTCACACAACCTTTCGAATTGACCCTAAACAGTGGGAACAGTCTGCACATTACCGTGCTACTCCTGCTGAAGAGTTCGAAAGAACATAATAAGTAAGAAAGAATCAGTGTAACAAGAAGCGACAGAAATTCCCGGTCGTGGTGCTTGAGTTCTATGGTCATCGCAGCCGACTGTACCGGGTATGTGAAGAAGCAATTCTTTTTGAAGAACAGTTTTAATCCAGTACAGCCATCAAAAAAACATTCAATCAGTTATTTCCAGGTCTTGTACGCAGCTAGGCTAGTGTTTACTTCTAAGTCAATCAGATGTACTTGGAGAGCTGCGATTGATAGCACTTCTGCGATTTCTTCAATTTATAGTCTTCTTTACGCATATGGAGTCATCTCATGGCATTTTTTCAGGTGAAAAATACCCGAGACAAGTGGAAGCCTAGTTACCTTTCAAGACTGGGCTGCACGGGTTGCATTGATGCCAGAAGACGCTGTGATGATTAATCCGTTACTTTCCTGAGATTGATGGTTTGTACTTACTAGCATCGGCCACTCTGGGAAGCGAACCTGCATCATGACTTGATAGATATATGCAAAAGTACAGGTTTCATAATTGAAGCTATTGAATTGGGTTACTTTACTCTTACTCAAGGACACTCTGCTAGATTTGCTTGAAGTTTGATGACCAGCATACAGTAGTTCAAATAAGTATATTTCATTCGTTCCAATTTAATACCAACGTCACACGAAGTACGAAGCAAAGTTTTGCAACGCACGAGAGTGGTCACAAATATCATGATTGGACCCTATTATTGTCATGCAGTAAGTCGGGTAAAAGATTAAATACTTGCATTCTCGTGCAGATATAGAAAATTCCACACGGATTTTGGGCAGAGTCAATGCGATCTTTTCTGCGCTCTCCTAGTCCATGAGACTCACATTATCCTGAAGGGAAATATTTATGCTCAACGCACTCATGGTGCAAAACATCGAAGTATCAAAATGTACGCCGGGGATCTCGCCCGGTGATATAAAATATAAGGCCCCTCGAAATTTTGAAAGGACGTAAACAAACGCAATTTGGAATCTCCAGGACTCGGGTTCCTCTTCAAACAGCCCAAAGTAGCTGTCTTCCTACAGTGGCAACTGTTCTCGTCCACATGACTTTCTATTTTTGTTTTGTCAAAGCTGGTAGATTGGTGGTACTGTGAGGAAAGCCGGAGTAAATTCCAGACAGCGCTCCTCTAATAACAGTCGAAAGTGAAGTTACTCGGCTGCTGGCTACCGACCTAGAGAGAGGAAAGCATTATTGGGGGCATTGCTTTAGAAAGTAGAATTAGCTACGCGCTCCAGACCTAGAGAGAGAGAGGGAGAGAGAGATGAACATTATTAGAGTAATGAGATTGCTTGTCTGGCTCATAGACTTCTCAAACCAGACCACATTTTAGTTACCACCCACTTGAAGTGAAGGCTGACAATTACTTGGTGGAGTCGTACCGGATCCCAATGAGTTTTCGGCATTTTTGTAATTTGGGATTAAGTAGTATTATATACTTATATATGCATATACCACCCACTGCAACTAGAAAGACCACTTACAAATAGACAAGATGTCGTCCACCAATATCGTGCACATCGTCAGATCATAGCAGGTGTTGTAGTGTTCTCCATCGCATTCAATTTATGACGTGTGATTGTTAAGATGAGAGAGGAAGTCAGTTTCTGTCGAACAATGTTTTATTATTCTCAGCACATAGAGTGCTACCATTGACCTTTCATCAATTATGTTAGGCGTGTTATCGCAAACAATAGAAGGCCAGAGGAGTGGACTGTATCAAAAAATGCCACGTACTTACACCTATCATCAGTTTCGCTTAGATGGTAAAGTTGCATTAATGACACACCTTCTATTTCAGGTCATTTACAACTGAAGCGCATACAATCGTCGAGGGACCTCAACCGGCCTTTCATCAGATCCACCTGCTTCTCGGCTATGACCTTTCGTATATCTTCCTGCTGTCGGCCTCGGGATGTTTCAGCTCGTTCGTAGAGCTCGTAAGACAGTGTTCTATGGCTCTGTATTGGTTTCGATAATTTTTTCAAGTAATGAATTACATGTGCGATTATGTAACTTCCTCGTGAATAATTAAAATTTGCACCCTCTTGCTCCAAGATGAGAGAGTGAGTGAGTGAGGTCTAATAGCCTGATGCGATTGAATCATTTTAAAATCTCTCTTGTTGTATAATCGATGACCAAGTATACCCAAAGGGATATACTTGGAAAGCAATCGTACAAACAAAGATAAGCCATTTATTCCAGGAAAAGAGGTTCCGTAAACAATTGCAGAAATACACCATAGTTTGTTGCAAAAAGTTTCCCTCTTCCCTCCTTATAACGTAGGTAGTGATTGCGAGGATTTTGAGGTTTGAAGACTCAAGAGGTGATGGAATTAAAATCGAATTTTAGTTTCACGGTGGTTGATTGACTGGGATAGTAGTTAACTTATGTGTATGTAAGAATGAAAATAGAAACAAAAGATTCCTTATACTTGTTATCTCCATTCGCGGTTTTATAGGTTATCGAAATCTTGGCTATAATGAACTGTACGATTAGATTCATACTTCCAAACTATCCGATTGGTCTACAAAGCATTATAGCTAATGTTAACAGTCACGTAGTACCCATGTGTATAAAGTCACGTGTACATGACAATTTCCATAAAGTGGTCTTGCAGACTAAGTACAATCAGGTTATCGTCACATAATACGTTTAGAATTCGAGGATTTTACAGCCATGAATTACAAAGTACAATGTAAAAAACTTACCGTAAAAAAATATTTATTATTTCAGTCTATCATTTCAACTTCAAATACATTGTGAGAAATTCGACAATTCGAGATTTAAGGGTACTAACAAACTGTAATTTGATAATCTGGAAATGAAACATGACATTGGAAAATATTGATCAATATGAACGGTTTGTCACTAATATACTTGAAGCTTACCACGTAAATAGAGAAATATATTCTCCATGCAGGACCAAAAACCACTTAGATGAGAAACATAACAAGAAATACAAGAGCCAAGGAGTACAAAACCATGAAACCAAACGTGGAGCCACACTAGACATAGAAGTATCACAATGAGATTATTTAAAGTACATATATATAAAGACTTGGAATTTACAAACTCAATAGAAAAGTGATGCTAGATAACCTATCATCAAAATAGAATAAACCAGATATTGAGAAATGAAAGTTTTACAGTCCGGTTAAAATTGTTCTCTCTAGGCCTCTAGTCTATATTCTACATTACGAACTCCAAACTTACAAGAGTTCGAACATAATACCCATATACTTGGAGACAATGCTGGTTTCGATGTTGCATTAACGCTTTATTAACATGGAAAGACATCAAATATAGTAGAAACTAAGAAGTAAAAACATCACCTTAGGATTGAGTCTTGCTATAGTGGTCCCTATCCTTCTCATGAGAACTGCAACTATATCCTCTGAGAGCATGCATAAGATGTGAACCATATGCAGCTGAAATCGTAATCTGGATCTTGTTTGAATCATTAACAGCAGTCGAGGATTTTCCATCAATCTTCTTTAAGTCTGTTCATAAGAGCTCACTTGTTTACAAGACATGGTAACAGTGTTCGATCAGAAACCATGAGCATGAAACCATTGAAGAACAACCTTTCAAGAACAGTTTCATGCTTAGAGCCTTCTGATGATAGACTATGGGCCGCACGGTCATGAAAACAATGATTACAAAAGAGAAATAAAAATCAAGATCAGATTAAAGTGATGCACTACATTATCTCAAAATGATGGGAACTGACGGAATGGAGGTTGAAGAGGACTCAAAGAACTGGCGGAGGTTATGGCATGCAAGCAGAGGCAAAGACATAAGCTTCCGATGCAGTCCAGGAATATTGGTTGGCAGACGTCGCGAGAATCGGGGCGAGGAAAATTACTCGCGAGGCACGGAGCGCTGTCGTGAAAGAAGGTAAGAATCGGGGGCTCGTTTCACATGTAGGTCAGAGGACGCTCGCTCGCAGCATGGATATATTGTGGCTGCTTTGACGACTGAGGAGGATGTCAAAAGGTCTGGACAAACGCAAAAGGAAAAGCAATCGCATACACACGACGTTCGCATGCACATGCTCCAACTTGACTCGACGCTGTGGAGGGCCGAATTCAAATGGAGACAAATATTCCGAGAAGTTTTCCGGCTGACCGGATGGGGCTGGCATCGCGCTAGAAGAACCGAGCCCGGGAGAACCCGAGAGAACCGCGGGCCGAGTTCTCGTATGGAGCGCGTGTCCGTGCGGTACGGAGGGAGACAAGGTATTTTGAAGATGTCATGCTTCCAGATTACGCTACAAAGTACAACTACAAGGTCGGATTTAATTTACCGGAATCGATTCAGGCTGCCCGTGCGGGGTCGGGCAGCGGCCGCTGGTGCCCGCAGGCAGGCCCCTGGACAGCTTTGGCGAGAGCTCTTCCTCGATTGAGCTGCGTTCATAGCCTTATGATTTTATTGAGTGGCCATTCTCACGTGAGAGGAAGATCGAGGGACGCAACGAGCGCAGGCTCCACTGCGGAGCTTGGAAGTTCGATCGCTCTCTCGCAGCGCTCGCTCGCTCGCTCGCTCGCTCGCGCTCGACTTGATTTTCGGCATGCGCATGGCATTGTGGACGACAGTCAGCTTGCGTCGCGTCGCCTCGGCTCGCCTCGCATGGTGCGACGGGGCGTTCCAATCTGGGCCTGCCTGCACTACAGCGGCGTCTTCTTCCCTTCACAAGGTCCGCCTGCCTCTGCCTGCCTGCGTGCCTGCCTGCCTTTCCGCTTCATCATTTCGTCTGATTCTGTATTCCACGCTAGCTAGTTGTAGAGTAAGATTATTGGCTGCACACATGTACACATGATCATCGTACAATTATATCTGTAGATGTATCGACAGACTCTCCCTCCAGGTGTAATTGAGCTTGCAAACACCGAGGGAATTCGGAAGGTTCTCAAGCGAGGCCCTCGTAACGGTGAGTCACAGATTCAAATAGGTCCATGCGAATGATTACAGGTAGTAAAAACCGCCTCGGTTTACCAGTTTCTTCCATCACCGCACAATAGATCAGAGCTCTGCAGCGAGTGACCTTCGTATTTGATATTTTTATCATTTAGCCCGCCCGGCTGCTAGCAGCGTACGTCACTGTTCAGACGAGAAAATATATAACCTTCCGCTCTGCCGCTATACTGCCGAGCCCCTAGGCTATCTACTGTGCATCTACTGTGCACAGATCGTGGATTACACGACAATAAGCCGGAAGGAATATGAACTTCTGAAGTGCCTGCTTTCCAGGTTCCGAAGCTTTGATCGCTTTCCCAAGTCTGCATGCTTCAGCTGTCCCTCTGTAGCTGCCACAGCCAGATATAGAAACTCCTTTATCCGGCATCCGACGATCGTTCGTTCGATCAGATAGACGGGCAACGGTGCGCGCAAGAGTGTCTGAACCGAACTATTTATTTCGGCCTCAGGTCCACCGTGCTAACAATTATTCGAGACCCGAAGCAATCAATTCTGATCGACTTTCGCGGCATGGTACCCACCCATGATTTGAGCTCAGTGCTCATTCTCAGCGTCGAGTTCTCGGGGCGATTCCTCCTTGGAACTGATATTCAATCCGCAGGCCGCGGATTTTTTAATCGATTGATGTAGATCTCGTCCAATTCTATGTTAGATTCCGGCTCCCTCATTGCAAGAATGTGTGGAGTAGCGGGTGTACGTTCAGTGCAGATCGAGCTTTTCCGGTTCTTTGAGTTCATTGCAGCTTCGTCCTTTTGCAGTTTCTCATCCACATCCAGTCAAGCTCTTTTGGTGATCCATGCAGTGACTGTGTGCATGTGCAGAGCTCAAAGAGCTGAATTTGTTCCACCATAGCATATAAAGAGAGAGTCTGATCACTGCAACTTGATTGTCAACTCTTGATTTGATATAGTGAGATGATGCGTAGGAACCTGATGCTCAGGATACTTCGGCAGCTAAGGTCGCTACAAACCTAGACTCAGATTATGCCAGCTAGCTAGACATTTATTTGATTTGGTGGAATTCAAGATTGGAGAAGCATCTATCCGTCACCAAACACTACTTAACTGGCGTCTCTATATATTTCATTTTTCGATCCATATTCCTGTTAAGAATTCCCCGTTCTTTCTTGTTCATAACATTCATTGATTTGGTGGTAGTTCAACACCTAGAACGGTAGTCGTATCGCGGCGGACCTGGAGACAACACAAATAATTTGAGCTTCATCGTCAGATGGCGATGAACTTCATGGTGTCGTCGTCTAACACTTCGTTCGTCTTCTGGTTTTGCTTGCTAGTCTGGAGCAGTGAAAAGCTGACTCTCCATGTTTCTTGAAAGAGAAGAATGAGTGGTCTTTTGTTCCGGGATCTTCTTGCCTTCTCTGAAGTTAACATTTAGCTGCGCCTGTAACATAATAGTTCGGTCTAGTATTAGATTAGAAAAAATAAGAAAAAAATTGAAATTTTCACTTTCTTTCATTTGTTAACGTACCGATGCATATCGGTTTGAACCAACTCAGGTGCAAAATTGATGCGGGAAAAAAATACTAATATGCTAGTCTAGAATTTTCCTGCTCGAAAACTTGAAGTCGCCAAGCAGATCTCCTGGACTAAAATCAATCGCTAGAAAGTGCATGGAAGTCCATGCTTACAGTTTCTCTATTCTGGTACCTGTTTCTTCGAAGGGTTTAGGGTGTTTGCTCTGTTGAAGAGGGAGTATATATTTGGAAAAGAATTCAGAATATAAAGTTCAAAGGCATATTCTAAAAATGGGGAACAGTCCAAAGTCTGTGAATTGATCCGTTGAGTTTTCAAGTAGAATATTGATCATCACAGTCTACTCAAAACGAGGTACGTATACAAACAAACTACGTGTATAAGAATCTCTTCATAGCTTGTTATGAAGCTAGATTCTACTTACCAAACCGAGTATTAATTACACGTAAACAAGAGAACAAACACACACTTTGAGTGTATTGATTGTTGTTGAAGGAATTGTATCTAAAATTGTTACAAATTTTGTTGACATATATTGGCTTAATAATAGATTAGAATATAATATGTAAGTTTTGAATTATTAGACAGATTTGTTTAGTTTTTATTATAGTTCTTTTGTTTCACTCATTAGTAAACTATATATTTTTAAATATTGTAAAATCACCATTACCTCAGGATGCAATATTATATATATTTACAATGTGCAAAAATCTAAACAAATTAATATGGTCAATGTGAGTGTTCATTAACTTGTACGAATGGAGTAGGGATTAAAGCTCTAAAATGTGATGATGGGCTTTTCAAGATGTCCAGTGAATTGTCTTTTCCAAATGTGTTTTAATCAACACGCAACAGCTTCTACAGTGGCTTGTGTCCAGAGTTAAGCCTTAATTATTAACAGTTTCTAATGCATAAAGGTTATCCCTACCAAGTTGCAATGACAATCCTCGGATGAAACTAAATAGAATATATCCTAGGCTTTTATAGTGTATCGTGACATTTGTGTACATCCCACTTACAATTTACTTCTGTGTCCAGTCACTTCGATGCGAGGTACTTTTCTTTTGAGATAACCAACTTTTTATTTGAGGTAGAGTCTTCTCGGTTGATTGCAGAAGTAAGAGATTATTAGAAAGTCGAGTGCCAGACATCTTAAGAGACGTCTAGCACTCAATTTATACATTACATTCAAAGCTTGATACAGATCCTGGAGTACATTCTATGTGTAGGTCTAGGACATCTTCATGTGAAGGTAATCGCTGAAATTTCTTTTTATACAACAGACAGCATGTGGAATCCCGAGTCTGCAAGGATGTGATCGGACAATATCTTTCACGAGAGACAAAGGTGATTGAACTTGAGATACCCAACGGTGGGTAAGTTATACCACATATAAGGCATGCCATCATTGTTTCTTTCTAAATTTCTGAGTTCCAGTTTTCCTGGCTGGAACGAAGATCTCATATATATATCCTACTCAGCTACCTATATGAGTTGAAGACACTTGCGAAAGCCCAAAGCGCCAGATGAACTCAGCGAAGTGCTGTAAGGCTAATTAAAATTTGTTTGCTAACATAGTAAGAGTCATGTTGTACTCGGTAAGTTACTGTATCACATAAGCTGTGGTATTTATCAAAACGAGAGGAAATTAGACCATCCAGCTTTACATTAGAACAGTGTGAAAGTTCTGTAGTGGTCGAGTATTCTTAATGGCGCTTGAAGTTATTCCATTACGACCTGTTCAGGTTCCAGAACACAGTCCCTATACCCACTGATCCGAAGTCATGGAGTACTAAGTCATAATGCATGATCTTAAGAGCTTAGGATTCGTGAAATACTGTTGATATTCGTGTGCATAGAGATTGGTTTGCTTTGTGAGCTCAGCCATTTAGGTTGATGTTCAGTCTACAACTTCAGGGTCAGTTTCAAACTTTCTTAAAAACAGTGTGCAACAGTTTATACATATGTACCAGGACGGAGCAGTCAAGGTCAAATGTTGAAACAGAAGATTTCGGTGAAGACATGTATATGACCAGTTGACCTCTCAGTTTAATCAGTCCCTCTAACCTGCGTCATTTCATCAGTAAAGTCCGATTTGCTGGAAATTGTACATTGTTGGAGAGTACCTGAGACAAGAACCTGGCAATAGGGGTCGAGCATCAGTTGGTTCGAAGATGGATGAACACGGGAGTGCCCAATAGATGTTCTAGAGCTCGACGGTTCCCGCAAACAGCTCTGATTTTGTAAAACCTTTGGTTGCAACCGTAAAGGTGGACATGTATGAAGGTTCATCAGCACTTCAAGATGTCCTCAATGTTTACTTCTGAAACGGGTTTGTGTCATTCACTTCGTGGAATCACCAGTAGACTCCATGATGGATTTCCGTCGGCTGCACTGATGCCATCATTTTTTCTTCTCAAATGAACGAGATTGACTTATGCTGAAACCAGCTGCAGGAGAATCTTAGAACGCTTGTATATGACTTTCACAGCCATAGACACTGTAGGCTGTGCAAGGTATGGACTGAAGAGCCGAAACCAGCTGGTTTCGGCTGAGGGGATTTGTGATGCTGAGTACGAATCTCGTGTAGTAGGTTGTACTTCATAGACTCACTTGCACCAGACATGGGCGATATGTAGACACAGTTGACTGCACGTGACCTGCTATACCACTGTCACAACTTTGGAATGTGGACAAAGACCACGAGGCTCATCGAGACAGTCAAATCCTTATTCATTTCTCACTGCTCTGTTTTGTGGGTGGCTTCGTCTGCCATTATCAGCCGAACAACAGCTACCACAACATTCGACTCCAGCGGTGAGGTATGTGTCAAGCACCTATCCTTCTGTCCGTGTGCCTCTGACCTCAAAACGAGCAACTTTGTCCAAGTTTCAACGGTTGTTAGCCCCACCAGGATTTGAACATTTCGATGTCAACTCTCATCTGCAGTGCAGTCACTTTTACAGGAGTACCCTAAACCAGTGCGTTCTTTTCTCCTTGTGTGGTTGGATGTGACTGTTCGATGAGGGAGGAGGACCCGGTCCAATGAAGTGGAAGTAACCACCAGGTTCTCGATTTTAGTGCTTTGTCCTTGCAGAAAGTTCAAGGTCAACATCGAAGTACATTCCACATCCATTTATGAAACCTTTGGTGGACAGATTTGCACCTACACGTGACATATCAGATTTCAAGAAATCTCTTGGGAAATGAGATTCACTTTCTGTCCCTATATCTAGAGTCATTATTGGTAGAGAATATTTCAATCATTGATTAGATTATTTTAATATAATTTATAATATTGTAATATCAAAAATTTAAAATATATAATATTTCATGATTTTAATATTTGTGAAAATATTTATATTAAAAATATTTTTATTCGAATTTTTATAAATATTAAAATCATGAAATATTATAAAAAATAAATTTTTGATAATAAAAAATTATAAATATTAAAATAATTATGGACAGAAATAATTCACTTGGAGAATAAAAAAATTTATCATATTTTCATTAAAATTTTATATTTTTCAAGTGAATTATTAACTGTCCTCGACATATTTATATTATCAATTTTAAATATTTACAATTGAAATTTTTTAACATAAAAATTTTTAAAATAATTCACAATACAACCGATGAAAAAATAATTGCATTTGGTACACATCTAAATCCATTCAAAATTTCATGAACAATAAAATGAGATATTCTGTACATGATAATGTACTATTTTGGATCACCAATTTTGGATTACACTATGCAGATTAATTTATATACATTTCATGTTAGGAAATGTATTTTCGTTTGACTCGAACTGATGCCATATTTTGTTTTCTGTATTTCATGTGGCAGGCTTCACTCTAACGCGCGAAGTGTTACTAGATACCGGATAGCATACTAAATGTAACTAGTTCGTATACGTTTGACTTCGATACTTTCCATACGAAAGGGCAGTCACTGTTACTGACTTGCTTAGAATTTCAGACTTCAAACTCCCATCAATTCCCTACGGTCAACAATATTCGTACAGGTAGTTACTGTTCTACCCTAACATACTTCATTCTTGTTGGCTTTCTGGTTGTTCAATCTTCTGATATTTACTTCTCTTTTTCGATATCAGATGGAGATCAATGCTGGATGTCACCTGAGATGGATGAGCATGCCACCAGCTATTGACTGAATCGCGCAATCAGTAGTCAGGCGGCCCGACTTACAACCTCCGGAGAGATGTGAGCACTGTATGAGGAGCGATAGGCATAAGTCCACCAAGAAAATTGGCATTGGCTCACATTGAAGATGTTCCCACTACCTGCTAATCAGGTGAGCTGGTCGTCTTATGTGCACGAATCCATGTTCCTACATTATGCGTGATTGTATTAGCACGGTTTTCAAGGGGAGTCAATTACCGAACAACTTTTCCCCATATACCCATTGTCGGGATTCTTTCTCAATTCAGCCCGGATTGAGAAACTTATTTGTTATTAAGAAGGAAGGGAGGCAACGTTGAAAACACATTCATATGAATGCCTGTCTGGGGTCACACAATCGAAAGTAGATGCGTACACATGTACAGATGAACTTTGTAATCTATCTGTAGATTTGATTAGTTTCATGCCCTTCACATATAAAACTCTACCTAGTTCGTAGGAGAGTTCAACATATGATGGGTATTGCATGTCAAGTAACTACGGTACAATCGTCTCTGTTTATTTCGATGATTCATTATTGACATACAAATATGAGTGACTAGAATTCCGAGACAAAGAAGGTCTCGTTTCGCCAGGAGATGTCGTTTCAAAACAATTCGCATCTGGCCTGATAATTAAAGGTAGAAAGAAATCAATCGGGAGCATCAGATATTGATAACATTTGAGAAAAAAAGGTCTACTCATTCTCTACTCCTAAATGGTGCAAGTTAGAGGATTTTCTTTTTCATAAGAAAATTATTATAAATATAGACAAAGTATCCTTAGATGATATAGTTCTCTCAAGATTATAACTTCAAATAAGATCAGCAAACTGTAGATATACAAACGTTGTGACTCTTTATAAGTACGAACGTATGTATTTTCCGTCATTTGACTTGATAAAACTATTTATAATAGGCGGACACCACAAAGAGCAATCACCTCTCGATCATGGTTCACAACCCACCCGAATTTACAGAACTTGTCACTAATTGCCATATGCCCTATCCCGAAAGTAGTGTAGCACACATAGACCCTTTGAAACCAGATCTGAAAAGATGGGATGACCCTATAGATCCCTGGAAGGAAGAAACGAAACGGAGGGAGAGAGATGTCATCACAATGTTGTACTAGTGAGATTGTGCCAATGGTATTAAGCCGGGGTAGAATTTAAGGATAAATTACAGCGTTGTAGTGATTGGTCAAACATTGGTAACTGAATGTGCTTGGACACATTTCCTTTCGCTAGGGTTTCTTGATCACTTTGAGTTTTTTGAAATGTCCCTGGTCTATGTGTGACAGGAAAGATAATCTGTCAGAAAGGAACGGATCTACGGTTGAATAACAAATTGTCGTTCAGTGACTGTAGTGAACACGTGTAACATAACAGGAGCCGGATTATATTCTGAAGTTGAGGCTATGAGAGAGAAGGAGAAGAAAATACAAGTCATAAGTGGAGAGATGACATGTAAGGAACAGCCTGTACATGAATATATCCCTCTACCGTACTACATGAATCCAGCTTGTTACCGGTTCAAATGAACCTAACAAACTTACCATTAGTACATCAAGTGCTCGAACCTGTTATCTACAGATATAACAGGGTAGAGAAACTCGAGTACAAGAATAATATTGTGTGTTGATGACGCGGTGGATTGCTGAGCATGTTGGAAATAAATGCAGACTCAGGAATCACTATTTACTAACAACCTTCGAATCAAAGTCTGATGGAGCTTCTTCTCCCTAGTTAAAGACAATCATCTGATACACGTGAAAGTTTTTCGACCCTTACTCCTCGCATGAAGTTACCGATAGAAGAACAACCAAGTCGTATGTGGGGTTTACAAGATCAAGACGAGGTGTCAGATGAATTTAATAAGAGCTCATAGAGAGACAAAGAGAGATAGTGAGCCGATATTAGTGTTTATGAAATAGTAATAAAAAAACACCCCGTGTAGTCGTAGAATTTTCAATGTACTACTACTACTACTTGACCTTACGTAGTTTGTATGCTTTAGAACTTTGGAGTACAGGGCGCTCTCAGAGTGTACAGAGTACTCTGTACACGCTTTCGGGGAGAGGAGAGTTAATCTGTTTTCTTCTACGGCATCGGACAAAGAGAAATTTCTGGTTCTTGATTGAAGTTAATGTTTCATACGAACAAACGCAGAGAGAGGTTCATTCAGATATCATCGAATAATCCCAATACAAGTCTTTTTCCCATCTCTGTGCCTCACACTACCGGACAGAAACAGCTTTGTCGTCGAGGTGGTCTTGCGAGAGGGGAGTTTAGCTCTGGTTTCGAGAGACTCGCTGGCAATGCTAAATCTTATGAACTGGAGTCGCGTGAAACAAAGAGAGGAAAATCGAGCGTATAAGCATGAGGAGACGAAGATAAAGTGACTGTACAGTATTGTTGTTTCGGCGCTAATGGGGGTAGGTCGAAGAGCCTAAATCTATGATGCCACGGAAGATTCCTGTAGCCACCGCTCGAGTGAGTTTAGGTGGTGGGGCAACACATGACGTACGCTGACAAGCGCAGACGGCGCAGGCAGGTTGATTCCAATCTGTCCTAAGAAGGAAGAAGCCCTACGGGGTCCTCGTAGATTGTCAGATTTATGAGCTCCGAGTTATGACTAGGAAAGAAGAAGCCGATGTCGTTACTCATACCGTACCGTATGTATGGGCCGTGGCCTCGGGGCAGCCGGATATACGCGTACGCTGGCAGCGTTCCTGGGAAAGAAAAGACGAGCGAAGCCCTGGGCCTTTGCGTTCGGATGTTGGGACAGCCCGGCCTGTCCCGTCCAAGGGCAAATGTTCCTCGAGCCTTTGTCTTTCGGGCCGACCCGAGTCGCTGACAAGAGACACTGCATGCTGACCAAAGGCAAGGCACGGCAGGCAGGCAGAGCACAGCAAGGCTAGGGCAGCTAGAGTGTCTTGTACTTTAATGTAGGCGCCTAGTCCGGAGGGACGGCTTCTGGACCTGTCCCGATTGTTACGACTGTGGTGTAAGAGAAAGAGAGTGTGGGTAATCACCCACCCACTGGCTAGGCAGGCAGCCTATAGGCCGGGACAAGAATGAATTCTTAACCAGCGCCCGCCCCGAGTACCGGACCGGGCTCTCGGAGCACAGTCGTGGGCTCTGGACTCTGATCTGCGAAAGCAGCGACGCTGTGGGCGGAGTCCGAGAGCCCAAACTTTTCTCGGGATCTTTTGCAAATCATTGAGACAGGCGGGCGGATCTTCCCTCGCCACCATCGGCGACCCGCTTTTTCTCCCCCGCATGTTCTCGCCTAACCGCGGTTCCGGGTTGGGTTGGGTCGGGACCGCGCTGGGCTACGATCGAGAGGGAGCGGGCGTGCGAAAAGCTGCTGGCCCTCGAGGCCTGTTGGCAAATGTGGCCTCCACAGGCCTTCGTACGCTGTTTTGGGAACCGATTCGGAAAGTAAGCATTGTCAACTAGCCGGCGCTCCGCGGGCAAAGCCGAGTGAAGGGCCGTAATGCGGTGGACACACGGCGTCGCGGACGGCAAAGATTGGAGAGGCGGTGAGGTGCGGTGAGGGGAGGTGAGGTGAAAGGAACGGTACGATCGATAGGCTGGAAGGCATGGCATGGCGCTCGAGCTCGAGCGCTCGCTGGCGCTGAGGCTGAGGCTGAGGCCGCGCGGGTCGGCCTCGCGCTCTTGGTCTAGTTCGCCGCGGACCGGTCGTCTCGTCGCCTACTTTCCCTTCGGTGGTGCACTGCTGCGGCGTTGTGTACTGTAGTGTTCTCCGCCTCGTTCTCGAGGGTGAGCACGCTGATCTTTGTCCTCATCGAGATCATCGGGGCGAGAGTCCACGCTCGTCCATATCTGGAATCCAGACCGAAAGTAAGCATTGAAATTGGTTTGTCGGTGGGTGCGTGCGTGCGAGGCAGCGAACGAATCAGATTTTCGCCAATTATTCACTACACCTCAAGACCTCCATTCTTGAGAATCACTGGTTCCGAGGCCGGACGAGATAACTCGAACAGGCAGCCGGCCAGCCGGCGTCTCTGGAGCAGAAATCAGGCCAAGGAATGCGAGAACTGCTGTCTTTCTTGTACTTACGACTGCTCCTCCGAGTCTACACGAGGGCCCAACATGTGAAGGTCCTATGAAGAGTCTTATTTGAAGCAGGCTCGTGACATGCATTCCATTGTGGGTCGAGGACGGAGGCCTGCGTTTCGGGAGGAGCAGGGATGGAAAGAACACAGTTCGCCCCACACACCTCTGTCACCTAATTTCCATGCCGATCCGTTGTTCGGCACACCTAGTGGGTCATTGCAGGATATTCTTCGCTCCGTCCACATGGTCGAAGGCTCCGCTTTTGTGAGTGTCCCGAAAAGTTCCGGGTCTCAAGCACCACCAGATATTATCGCCCCTCAGCAGCAGCAACAGGTCAGTTCAACCGCTCGGAACGTAAGCGTCGACGCTCCCGTGATAGATGATGGATTGGGCAAGCTGCAAAGGAAGCAACTGCAATGTCACACAAGCTCTTCGTGGGATCACAATATGAGGAATGAGCACGTCTTCGAAGGTTATCCGCATGTTGGACTTGCGGATATCTCCAACACTCAACTGCAGCTCGACAGCTTCAAGCCCGTTGGCACATGGACTGATACGCCAGGCGCTGATCACGAACAGCAATGGACCGATCTGCGCAGGAGCTCTAAGACGACCATGCTCTCACCTGGTCCCAATCTCGATAGTGGCACTTGTCAGCCGTCCGTATGGCGAGAACGCTGGTCCGATAGTTCCAGGGTGCACGCGTCTTCGCATCAGGAGAGACACAGAGCTGCAGCGCCAGCAGCGGGAGCAGCAGCAGCAGCAGCGCACCTGGAAGAATCCACAGATGGAGGTAGTGATCCCATGGACGAAAAAAATTCACGGCGCTTCTCCAACACCGCGGGTTATTGTTCCTCCCGAAATCTTTTCTCCGAACGCAAACGACGTAAGAAGATGAACGACGGCTTGTATTCCTTGCGCTCTATAGTTCCAAACATCAGCAAGGTAAGACATCTTTTATCTTCCAGGAAGATGACCCCGCAAGCTTTCAGCTAGAGGTGACACGTTCGTTCGTTGACTATGAGCACTTGTACACTTATGGCTTACTTCGTCGTCGTTTCTATCGCATCGATGGAATTTACAGCAGGCTCGAACTTAGTGGCGAATTCATCACGAGAAGCCTTTGAAAGGATCCTGTCACTCATGTTCTCCAGCTCGCTACACATAGAAGAGGCTAGGTACCTATCCTCACCGGAATTAGCACAATCTTCTCTTCAAAATGCCCACAGCTTAGATTCATAACTCGCCAGTGCCAAAATCCTTCACCTAGAGCTCTCAAACCAATATAGATAGCGGAATTCAAGACATGCATATACATCATGAAGCTTTGTCATCCCCGCCTTTCGAATCCCTCCTCCTTGAGAATCTCGCTGACACAAGGCCCTTCCTAAAGACATCTTCTGTTGATATTGTCAACTTGAACAATCGTTTACAGCTAGTACTGACGGACTTGAGACTAACCCATATGAAAGTGTTAAAATTAGTCCAGTTACTCAGCTTGCATTCAGTTACAACCTCAATTCAACATCAATGATGTTCTCCCGAGACCAGTCGGGAGAACATTGACATGTATCAAGATGGATCCAGATCCTTGACAAAGATAATTGGTGCAACCTTGCGTTGTTCTCCCGAGGCTAGTCGGGAGAACATTGGCATGTATCAAGATGGATCCAGATCCTTGGCAAAGATAATTGGTGCAACCCTTGCGTTGTTCTCCCGAGGCCAGTCGGGAGAACATTGACATGCATCAAGATGGATCCAGATCCTTGACAAAGACAATTGGTGCAACCTTGCGTTACTCTCTGAGATGTCAAGCTGGTAATGCTTAGCATCTCCTTTGCTGTCAGATGGCATCTGATCCAGACGCCATTCGTCCTCGCCTTAGACAACGAAATCGCTGACATAATTGCTTGCCGGCCAGTCTGACCTCCTACATTTCCGTCTTTATTCATCCTCATCTTATTTCTATTACTCCTAGTTGATATAGTTGTAGAACATTTCATAACCCCAACTGTTGGGACCAGATTCAGCAATTCGCGGCTTAAAAATCGCAAGCCGGCGAGCTTTTCGCTGCTGTCTAAACCGGAATATTTTGTTTTGTTTTGATAGAAACAGTTCACCATGGGGAGTGGACTTTAGGCGGCGGTGATGGTTCATTCCTTCTTGCAGTAAACGTCCAAGAGATTGTGGATGGAGCCGCAGTAACTGGATTGTTCATCCATTGAAAGCTCCACAAAAGCCGGATGTCATATGCGCTTGACCATAACCACGTACAATAATGGCTTCCGCACTTGGTGAAACATCCCTCGGCTTCCAGTTTCATGGGAATGAAAGACCTTTCTATCCAAGAATTGCATCGGAGTACGCTGTTGTCTCATAATGCTGTCCACTAAGATTCGTGAAGAGACGTTTATTTTTAGGCCACAACATGCACGTATTGCCTGTACTACTCACAGATCGTGAGGGTATCCATTTATAGTATTGCACTGTCACACCTGATTCTTGCGGATGCGATCCTCGAAAATATTGGAGCATTGTACGTGGAGATTGCATCTAGAACTCATTATGGGTACCATCAAGATGACATCCCGAAGTAGACCTCCTACATATTCGGACTTGAGACGATGACAAAGATCAATAGTATACCTATTGACCCGATGGGTTCAAAGTCCGTATGGAACTGACAAATTCTCAGACTTTAGATCAGTAGTGAAGACCTCGGCCTTGACAGACGAGTGCTGCAGTCGATTGTGTACTATTTTTTGCGATTGTCAGTTATTTGGACTTCTACAAAGTTTGCGGGTTACTTGGGCTGATTGATCTCATCTATTCATTTCTGTTGTTAAAATTATAGATGGATAAAGCATCGATCATCGGAGACGCAATTAAGTACGTAATGGAGTTAGAGAGACAAGTGAAGGAGCTGGAGGGGGAGATGGAACTTGACGAGCAAAGGAAAAACAAGATAAACTCAAGCTCCGATACTCTGGGCTCCTTGGCCGCTACGGGTGTCCAGCATGGCGGAGATGCAGCAGCACAGAATGACAAAGATGTGGACTGGAATAAAAATTCGGGAGGAAATGTTTCCAAGTTAGACACGAAAGATCAGCCTAACGTTACGGTGAGTCTGGATGTAAGGATTCCAGCAAATCGTTGGGAATGAGCCCAATCAATCAAGAATGAAGAAATCCATTTGAAATATATTGAAATATGTACAGATCCGACTGCATAGGTACCTGGACCCCTTCACCCCAAAGAATCGCTAGCCCTTGAATTCACTGCGCGTATCAGAAATTCAAATCCAACTTCATGAAATCCATCTCACGAAAATTTCCTAACTGCGTTGGCGGTCATGTAAGTCGTAGATGATATTCGCCTAGAGGCAATTAATTCAACGTTAAAAGACTCTTCGAATTCTATGACCTCGTCTATCACAGGATGGCGAATTTCACTGTTCATCGTATTCCTTGTTCTTTGGCAGCTGGAGCTCTCCAAGATGAAGACCGGAATGTACAATTTGCGGATGTTCTATCAACAGCAGCCCGGCATTTTCATGCACATGACGCAAGCTATTGAGAGTTTGGATCTGAACATCCTTAACTCTCATGTATCGACCTGTGATGGCTATGTTGTGCACTCCATGATTGCCAAGGTATGTACAGGTGCTTAGCCTTATGAATGTTCCTAGTTTTCAACTTCTTCAGATACAAAAATCGAAATGGTTTAAGATGCACTGGCATCAGAAATTGGCACTTGTGTATGCTTCAAACGTCTAGAACGTCTTTCTCACCCACTCAATGGCGAAAATGTTGCCCTCGACAGCCAGATTTAGGGGTAGTAATTTGCGGCAGCCCCTACCTGTTAGCAATCTGATAATATTGTATCGACAGCAAATCAAAGAAATCCAGACTAGAATATGATATATTCTGCCAATTACGGATTTCGTGTGTTCTGGACCGGCTCTTGAATATATGTCGGACGCAGAACCTAGACCTTGGGTCATGTAGATTCCGAATCGAAGCTCGAAGTTTTCAATTTTTCTTTGTGTTGTGAGCCTCTACATTATTGTCATAAGGGCTGCGCCTCAATAATTATATCTTCCTATGCACAGCTCAATAGGGGACTCACAGATTAAATAATAATACCGTAGATCTGTATAATAGAGAAGTATGAGATTCTGTATCAACTTAAACATGGTTGGACCTAAAAATTTGCATCATTGACTGCTGCCATTAAAGTCAGCCATGTAGTCCTAAAGCAGCTTGAAACAAATTCTCTCTGATATATGAACCACTAATTATATAAACAATACTAATGTATAGCAGTACTATATTCTTGTTTGTTAGTCTAGCATGCACCTTAATGGGCACATGAACGCACGAATTCTTGAATGGTATGTCGGCTCTAGCAGTAAGTTGTATCTGACAATCTCTTTTACGCTTTTAAGTAGGTTTTCTGAATTTGAGTTCAACCTCGGTAGCGAGTTCACCCTGAAACCAAGTTCAAGATCACCTGTTGCCTTCTGGCTTGATTGCATGAGAAGTTTTACTTGGATACATCCAACATTCTGGGTCTTGGATCCTGGGAGTTCGTCCTGATATCGAAGGCAAATTCATGGTAGAGATAAACACATTTTCTTTTGTAAGGGAATGAATCCTATGTAATATTATTTCCTTGCCTAGAGCATGAATAGATTTTTCAGTTTGTCACTCTCATAATTCACTTCGATTTCAGGATGCACTCCAGGTTCCAGGACCAAGAACTTTAACACATCTAAAGCAGAGAAATATCAGGCAAACAAATGGTGAAAACTATTTCTAGCTGACGATACATGGCTAGGCTGGAACTCTGAAATAACGGAGATAAAAAAGTTCGTAGATCGAAAGTCAATACTTGTTTTGCAGAGAGCATCTTTACACCTTCAAGTACTTTTGTTCACTTTCCATCTACCATCAAAAGACAGCATCCTTTACCTCTTCTTGAAGTGTTCACAGTCTTGTCCAGAAATAAGCTTCAGCAAACTACTTGTGTATGGTAAAGAGAACTGCGGCCTAGTAGGAATATATTGTGTATTGTTGAGTGTCTAGCAATCAGCAATATGCTTTGAGTATATAAGATAGACCCTTGATCAGACTCCTTCCTCGAATTACTAATTATACAGACCATCCAAATCAATCAAGCGCACGCTCTTTGACGGATTATGCTTGTCAGTGAGTTGCAGCTTTGTCCAATATAGCTGGTTCCAAATTTAACGAGTAATTCTCAGGACGTCAGGTGCATGCTTTCATGTTTCTGCAATGAGAATCCTTGGATGTACGATTACGTGCATTCGATTTCGTCATGATTCCCCAAGTAATATTATGATAACAAGTGCATTATACTGAGAATCTAACCACGCGCCATATATACTTAGATCCTCCACTTCCTTCATGCTTCATTGGGTATGCTCGGTGTTGAAGGCTCCTGCGTGTTTCACACAGTAGGAGCCTTCTGTAACTTACTGGAATCAGTAAAGGGCTTGATCAATACGAAGGGCATGATACGTCTTCCGAAGGGCTCGAAAATTTAGAGCCTTTTTGTACACAGGAGTTTAAGTGCTTCGAGTACATGGGGTTTTCGTCTCCAAAATTCTAAGTAATGTTTGAACTTTAGCATATCGAAGTCTTTTTGGTAAGGTTTATGAGGATTTCAAACCTTCAAAGCCTTAACAATGCTTTATGGTTGTCTTAACTTCTTCGTTTCCTTCTTCGTTTCCTTCTTCGTGGTTTTAGTTCCAAGGCCTCTCTGGTGTCTGCGTTATAAACCTTCAAACCGGCTCCCCCCTGCAGCGCTTTTCAGTGTTAAAAACCCGACTTGCGTGAAGTTCTATTGTTTGCTGTTTGAGTAAATCCTTCCACCACCGTTACACGATAGAAGGATAAATTACAACTTATGCTTCCACGTTAAGCAGATTGTCCAGTCCTATAGATTAAAACAAGGATTCTTTCCATCACACTTGGGTCGAAACAATCCATGGTTGGGTTTGATGGTGACTCGATCTCTTGTCACCTTGCCACTATTCAAATGAAAACCTTCTGAAAAGGACGTAAAAGTCACTTTATGTGCAGAGATATGGCTCGTCTTTACGAAAGCCATAATTACAGCATGACCCCTGTTATTTCCTGTAATTTCGATTCTCTATGCCCCTTGAGCTTTCAAGAGCTTTTATCTTCTCGACGAGCAAAATCTTAGGTTCCTAGGATCTCAGGTTGCAACTGCAGCTTTACAAAACACATTCTCTCGATACGGTACTCAAGAACCTATAATGGAAAGACTCCTTGTTTTGGATGCTACTGAGTCGGCTAAGTATCACAATCAGCTAATATGCTGATTGTGATAAAGGTTTAGTACTGCATATAGAGAACAAGTTCAGAGTTTCAGTCCAAACTTGTTTATGTGAATACATGCTCAGAGTCATTATCTTGTTTTAGGCATGCATAAATCTGATCCTCCCAAAAAAGAGAGGCGTTACCTTCATCAAACGAAGTTTGCACTTCTCGACAAATATATCACATAATAAATACCTTTAGGTTTGATTTATATGGACATACAGATACGTAGATATTAGCCTTTCATGCTTCTTTCATTCTCAGTGCGTAAGCTTCTGTTATCGAGGTTCTCTCCAGTGTATACAGACCCAATGGTGCTCGAGCATAGTGCTCAGAGGCATCAGTTTACGGAGTTGCTTAAATACTTTGGGGAGTCTAAATTTAGTGACTTATTATCCCTTCTGAGCTTAACGTTTCCGGACAGTTGGCAGATTCGATATTGTACAGATATTAATTAAAGCCAAACACCCTTCGGAGTGCTTAGTCATAAGCGCTCAGCGTAGTTTGAGCATCCAGACCCCAGCATGATCAGGTGCCTACTTTCCGTGACTGGATTCTTCGTGCTTAAAACTTTCTCGGCACTCTCACAATCAGCATTTACGGCACAGCACAATCAGCACAAGATCGTGCTTTTCAAGCACGCTCTTTCATCGCTAAGATCTTAAATGTCCTGATTCTTGTGGTGGGCATACAGAGCTAGCAGATGCAGAAACATATATTCTTTAAGCATATTTGGGATTATTTGTTATTGAGCGCCTCAATAACATCATAACCAGATCTTGACATTCAGAGTTGCCAGCATTCTGGGTACCGGAGACTTGGTTGTTTTAGCAGCTTTCGTCAGCTTATATCTGGTTTTAGGCCCTCCGACGGACATTCTAAAATTTCAGCACCCTCGAGATTCTGTTTCTTTAACTCCTCGGATTCGAGTTTCACGTCCAACGAATTAGTTTAATAGCTGCTGTAAGTTCCAAGTGAGGTTGGGATGAATGGACAGAAACATGAGTTGATCTTTCAGGAACTAAGGCCACGAATAAACTCACGCAAGCCGTTCAAGACTTTCTGATGGATCTTAGGCAGAACTGAAGTGGACTGTGCAAAAAAACACCTCCGGAGAATAGACCCTGAGAATGTACATCTTTATAACATTATTATAAGCAACCGGATATAGCAATCGGATACACTCATGTGATCTTTATCAATATTACTTAACCACTGTAAGTTTTTAAGAAATTTCAGAAATCATATAGATATCTCTTTCTGATAAAGACAGGAATCGAGATTTTTCAACAATCTCAATCTGCTCGAAGAACTCTCAGATCATTTAGGCTTTTTAACAGCTGTTCAGTTCCTTCTTTCAAATCTTGAAGCAGTAAGAGTACTCGTTCGGGCCGTGAGGAGAAGTGACTTCAAATCTTGCTGGTCTTCAAAATTCTTGTGGCCAACACTAATAGATTCTAGCCAGTTTGATTTTACTTGAATAAACTTAACTTCAACCCTTGTAGTTCCTTTTATGTTTGAGAATCAATATTTTCACTATCATAGTCAGTTCACTGCTAACTTTCAAGCAATTTGTTTCTGGTCCTTATGGCATCCTGCCGAACATTTCACTGCTTCTACTCCATCAGTTCCCCCGACTTAAGGCAAAACAGATTGCTGATATGTGATGCTTTAATACTACTCATACTCAGTCTATTATTCCTCACTGCTTCTACCCACGTCGGCGTCACGTTCTTTTATCGTTTCGAGCAACTCGAATGCTATTGGAGCCCTCACTGCCCCGGTCTTCGAGCTCTTTAGAGTAGATATGAACGTTACCACACTACTCATCTCTCCAGCCACACACAGAAACGTCAAAAACCCAGGCATGGTTTAGAAAACACTCTCACCGGACACGATGGGCACCTTCGAGTTGGACCTTAGGTAATATTGTTATGCCTGTTATTGGCAGAATGTCATGTTTCTATTGGGGCCATATTGTTCTTGCTGTATTTTAAGCGTTTTGTCAAAACTGATGTTTACTTTTTTTCATTGGTGGATCGATGCTTTCATCGTTTCCTACCTTGATTTGATGTCTTTCATAGGTCATATTGCCCTTCGCCACATTTTAATCCTGACCTTGTATGGTGGAGCTCCTGAATAAGTATTGGCCTGGTGTTATTACTAGCACGGTTCCTGACAGGAGTTGTCTTGGTAGCTTGAGATTAAGTCTACATCGATCAACTGATGGTAGATCCTCTAGGCTAACGTCGTTCGATCCTCTTAAGCTTATACAAAGAATATCGTCTTTTTAATTGCAGAAGACAGTAGTGAGTGCTTTCATTCGGTCTGTATCTTCGATTATACTTATCCAGGCATGGCATGGGCATGGCATACCCTACATGAGTAGAAAGCAGTGTCCTAGGAGACTGAATTGCCCACAAACCTTAGCTTAGTGAGTTACCAATCGGTGTATGTCCTTTCTAAAGATACCCACACTTGGTCTTGACGAGCAGTCGTGATAATGTTGATATCAACTTCAGTTTAGCTATTTGAGCGGCTGAGCTACTCGAGTAATAAAACTAAATGTATTATTTCCCTCACACAGACATACTTTTTAGCTCCTTCAGAACTTTCAGTTACCTACCGAGATGCTTGAACTCTGTTCTATTCAATATTACTAACGGCGCCATATCGCAGTTCGTTTTCAACTGCTAATAACGATATCCTTTTCCGTCGAGGCTTTTAAACGTCTCAAAATATTGTCTTCTGTATCCTTAGCTTAAGTTCGTAGCGATTTGAGTGCTTTGATGTCGGTACTTGAAGTCCTCCAGGTGGCTAGCATGTAGGGACTAAGCCAGGTAATATAGTTCAGATGCATTCACTTCCAGCAAACCATGTGACAAGATTTCATATGACTGCATTTTCCACCATTTTTTGAGAGATCAGATTGCTATGTATGGGGACTCTAGCCCAAATACTTGGAGCACACGCCGGTGCTTGAATCCAAGATGTTCAACAAAGTCTACCTCTCCGAGAAACTGATCATGAGAAGACTTAGTTGAATCCCCTATATTGTCTTCAATTCACTCAGACAGTGGCCTCAGATAAACTGAGCAATGGAGGGTACAACACTAGAGTGATCTGCGAGGGCGAATGATCAGTCGATCAGAGCCCACTTAACGGCACCCCTCAGAAGCGCCATATATTTGAGGCATATATTAGCTCAGAGAAGAGCTAGATACTGTGGAGGGTATAGTTCCACCCTCAAATGCCAACATGGACATGATAAGAGTTTTATGGTGATTAGAAATAATACTTATTGACGATGGAAGTGTTCAAGCAAGAAGAATTGTCCGAATCCTTCTCCATTGCATGCCAAAGTTCGTAGCAGCTAACAAACCCACTTAGAGTATCCTCTGAAGTGGTCTGTAGACAAGCGATTCAAGTTTCAAGGCGTAGCAATTGTAGAGATGCTACGCCTATCGTGGCATCTGTAGAGAAGGAATCAAATGTGTATTTCGATGCCTTCATATATCCTAATTCGGGACCTTTTTTTTCCAACGCGAGCAATGTAGGGAATGGAATACCTGTAAGAGCTCTAGTGTCTCCAGGCTATACACACTCTAAACCGTAGAAAGATAAACATTCTAACCGCCGAAGCACAGATCACTGAAGTTCATGTTCTTTCTTTGAAAGCTGGTGGACTCAGCCTCTCCATTCTACTCACGGCAGTCGTATTACCTGTGCGAAAATACGATGGAGATGTTACGGTTATCTAGCGTGACCGATATTGTTAGCGATTTTGCTCTGTTCGGGTGTTTACTGACCTGACCAAATTCAATCATTACTGAATCGTTGAAAGTTGGAGGGTCCGGATGCATGATTGACCCATGTGCTTTACCTATGGGCTGTATACCTACCATATTTATATTTGAATCCAACCAGTTGTAGTTGGCTCAGATAGATTGCTGACTATAATGGTCGAGCTCAATGTGTCTTATCCACAGAATTGTGCCTCGTGACTAACAGGCACCCATAATTTGCCAGCAGAGAATGTCTTGAACCGATGAGGAACGAGGGTTAAATATCGTCTGATGATACTTAGCCGCCTTCCGAATGTTCCCCCACCTTTTAAGGAACAAGATAGTTCATGGTGGAACCGGTTCATGTGTTCGGTAATTTCTGCGGAAAGAGCAGCTTTTAAATATATATCTTTCTCTGAATATTATCGCTCTGATCAAACTCTAAAAACTACCCTTTGTTGATCTGAGGTTTTTTTTTGGTGGCAGAAGAGCAGAATAGCGTAAATTCGAAAACTGTAAATTCAAGGGGGCCCATTGTTATTTCGGGATCTTGAACAATTTTTGCTACTACTCATCGACTAGCTCACAAGTTTGATTAAGCGCCTGAATGAACATTGAAGTTCACTCTTTTCAACCATCCCAATTAGATCTCGGCGTGGACCAGCTGCAGCTCTCCTAGGTTGTGAGTAACCACAACGTTGTACTTCCCAAGATCGAAACTATCATCTGAAGTCAAGTTTTTTCCAATAGCTTGTACGTCGATAAGCGCGATCTCGTTAAGCTTATACTCTGGAAGTAGCCATCTATGATTTATCTATTTATTTTATTGAAAATGTATATATATATATATATATATATATGAGACAGAAGCGATAATAGCAGATATAATGATCGGTCTTCTTCCTACCGTCAAACTGAACTGAACGCTACGACAGCTGCGTCCAATTCTATACATTACACTTAAGAGGTCTTCTCGTCGTAGCTGATATTAGAGAGACTTGCAGTGTATGTATATATGGATGTTCTTCCTAATATGTTTCACAGTATTTTTCACCTGATTAGCTGCTACAACACCGTTATCTCCGCAGTCCGCAACGTAACTGATCATCTTGTTGTTCGCTGAGCAACCTGGACACACATGTACACGTTACAATAACCGTGATAATTTTTTTCAACCTGTGCCAGATGACGAGCTGGGACGACACCGTGGTAGGAGATGTGGAGAAACATATTTTGGGACTTGTTAGGCAGTATCAGTGACAGGCCTCTAGGCCAATCACTAAAGTAAGTGATTCGCCCCTGAAGCTTCAAGGGTGAGATTGACGGGATTGGCATGTAACGGGTCAATTGATCTGAAGAGTACGGTACTTGTTGGATTGATTCTAGTTTCCCACTTGTGTAACTCGATGGAGGATGTGCGATGCTTACATATAGTGACGTCCTATCACTAGTTGGTACTTACTTTGTTTGCGAAAATATGGGAACATGTATCCGTGTTATGTGCTGCAATATGAGTTAACGGCTGCAAGGTGATTGGTCTGCCATGGCACTACACGCTGATGCTTCTACTGATTTTATCGAGTAATGCACAGGGTTGAGCCTCCAATAACTTTTAGAAGAGAGTGAGTGCTACTATCGGCCTTTTTGTTCTGTGTTTGCAGAGTTTCGTGTATATACGCGTTTATCCAGATTTTCAACACTTTTGTCTCAGATTTTCCTGATGTGATAGCAGTGCTTGCAATCGAGTAGCAAGAGAAGTCTTTGTTACAAATATCTTCCTCAAGGCGGCAGTATATTCAGGTCCCTCAGAACTGAAATACTTCTTGACTTCTTTATACTGAGGCCTGAAGGTCGAACCCGAATGGATGACCACTCACACATCAAGCATGAAGGAAAGAAAATCAGGTTTCAATAAAATATATGTTCTCAAGCATTTGACTTTTTTGTAAGTAGAGATACGAATGGATGAGGTGGAGTTATAGTACAAAGGAGGGAACATAAATGGTGACCTGTTTCAAATTGGGAGTAAATGATTAATGTATCGAAAAGTATGAGAATCCCCGTCGAGCGAGCTAATTTCGTGCTAACGTACAATACCCTAACAATTAATAAAAAAAAATGCAAAATATTTAATACAAAAATTTCAGAACCAAAATTAAAAACCAATGTAAAAAACAAGTGAAGGACTCTTAAAGTACTTTATTGAAATTGTTTTCATTGAGGATGTGAAATCCATTCATTCTATTTTTCTACAGATAGTGATTCCATCCATCAATCTAACCACAATAATTGAAACTCTTGTTAATTTTTATTCTATAGTTAATTTGAATAGAATATAAAATCAATTATATTATTTCAAAAAACTACACATTATACTTCAAAATAGTAAATTATTGTGAACTCTTAATTTTCATATCTTTCAAATCGTAGATAAAGCAAGATTTTAGAATTTCTTATTATATTTTATTATATTTGAAGAGAAGATTATTGCATACTGCGGAAATGAATATTGAAAATTATAAGAGTAATTTTTAATTGTTTTTATATTTTAATTTGAATGAATGATATTTGTATTTTTTATTTGATGAAAAGAAATAATTCACTATGCATTGTCAACAATATTTGCATCAATTTTCAGTAAATATGAATTACCTAGTGATTGCATGATAAAATTGTTGCTTTTGATTTAAATTTTATATGTAATTCAAAACCATTCTTTTAAAATAATAATTCCATGTCTTGTAAAAATTTTCAATTAAAAAAAATTATAAATTGAATTGATTTTAATTTGATTTGCTTATCAAAAACACATATTTGATAAAGTAATAACTAATGTCAATGTGTTTTATTCTCATAATCCTTATTTAATTTGGAGCAAAATATAACACATTTTGACTATCATAATAAAATTTGATAATCTTTGTTTCAATCTATCTCAATTTCTTCAATCAAATAGATTATTTTGCTACTTTTGTTTACATTATATATTCAATTTTTTTTGTTGATTTATTTACTTAGTTGTGCAAAGTGTATCTTCAACAAATCCAATCATTACCAAGTGTAAATAAAATTTTCATTGTAAATGTATTCTTGTATAGATTCATAGTGGGCATCAGCTTAATCTAGCAAGTATTTGAGGCTTATATAATTATTATACAATATACGATCATACGGAATATCATAATTTTTAATACTCTTGACATACATGCTAAATAGCTTTTTAATGCATCTTTACTGAATTTGACATGTATGTTTATCTAATTCATGGATACAATAATCTCCTATTGATGCATAGCATCATGAACACAAGATTGCAATATGCTTTATCATAAAACATTGATAACATCCGTTATTTCTCAATGTAATTCTTTCAACATTCAATCTCAAAAAGATTGAAGCTTGCTGTCAAAAAAGTCCAATTGTTTTAACCTGTCATGTTTAATTGTGAAGCATATTTTAAATACACTTGTCTTGAATTTGTTATAAACACACATCTTCAATAACCTTTTGCTTGATTCAAATCTTTCATCTTGAATATAGATTTCAGTTGGTTCTAGCATATGTCAATATGAATATGATTCTTTATCAGAAAGAGCACGTCATTTGGATAAAAGAATTTAATAGAATAATAAAATTAAAGTTGTCATTATTTAATTTTTTGACTATACACATTTTGTGAAAATCTTTGTGATTTTATGAAATCATATAACCTTGCATTTTACTATATAGAAGTTTGATGTAATTCATATAATGATTTCAACAATCTTTGAATCAAATTTTATTTTTTTTTCAAAGCCATCTAACTATCTAATGTGGAAATAATATTCAAAAGATTCATAGAATACTTCAACAAAGTGCAACAACATAATATAACAACATACTTGTGCATACCAGTGTCTACCATCCGCTTCGCAAAATAGCTTATGACCAGCTCGGACTGATCATTGCGGCCACTTTTGGTTATGACAATATGTGATCAATCTTTGTACCACTTAGATCAATCATCATCAGGCCTCATTCTTGATTCTTGTATTTCTATTTCTATATTCTTTAGCTGAAAAATAATTCCAAATTTCTCCGTGTTCACTATTTGCTTCGCAAAATAGATTATAATCTTCTTGGGCTCTACTTTACAATCACTTATTATTGTGATCATTCTCACTACCAATTCCATCTTTCATCATTATTTGTAATCTTTTATTTTTGTATCGCAAGTTGTGTAACACCTTCTTGCTTGTCATCATATCATCTTATTCTAGATTTTTTGCTTGACAAAAAAGCCAAAATGTTTTCGTATACATTATCCGCTTTGCAAAATAGCTTGTGATCTATTTTGATTATTAGAATATATTTGGATCTTTGCGACTTATTATGATCGTAATGTTTATGTCATCATTCTTGGTATCAATTATATCTTTCATCATTCTTTGTAATTTTTTATTCTTCACTGCTTGTCTTGCAACAACATTTTGATTGCCACTATTTCATTTGTCTTTTTTCAACTCAAAAAGAGTTCCAAATGCCCCTTTTCCATCATCATATTTGTGAAATAGATCAAGTTGTGCTTTAATTGGTTCGTTGCGACTACCTATAGTAGTGGCGATTACATGATAAATCTTAATATCATTTTCATGTACCATTCTTATCTCCAATTCTTGAATATTTTACTATTTATTGTTCAACATCTTGATGGTCACCAATTCACTTATCACTGCATTTTTTGCCTCAAAAACAATTCCAAATTTACTCATGTTCATCATGTGCTCCATTAAATAACTGATAATCTACTTGTATTGATCATTGTGGCCAACTATGATCGTGATTTTAAATGACCAATTTTAGCACCATTTTTATCTATCTATTACTATCTATAATTTCCATTGTTTCACGTAATTCTTTACTTTTCATCTCAAAACAATTCCAAATATTACCGTGCCCATCATTCGCTCCGCAGAGTATCTTATAATTTGTTGAGGCTGGACGTTGCAATCAGCTTTGTTTGTGACAATATGTGACCAGTCTATATATTATCTTCATCTATCATCATCATCTGTAATTCTTTATTCTTGTATTTTTTGTCTCCAAAAACTTCTTAATTGTCACTATTTCACTGTTTTTATACTTATTGCTTGAAAATCAATTTCAAATTTCTCCGTGCACATCATTTTCTTTGCAAAATAGTTTATGATCTATTTAGATTGGACTTTGCATTACCATGATCATAGCAATACCAATTTATCATTGTATAAGGTATCGCTATGATCATGACATTTACGTGATCATTCTCGATACCAATTTGTCTTTCATCATTATTTGTAATTTTTTATTTTTGTATTGATTATCTTGCAACACCTTTTTGATTGCCATAGTTTGATCTATGTCTATATGTTTTTATTCAAGAACAATTTCAAATGTTTCTATGTCATGTAGAATTATCTAAAATTGCTTATGATGTGTTTGATATGAGCGATGCGTTCATCTATGATTGTAGCAATTACATAACAAGTCTTAACATCAATTTCAGCTCCCAACATAATTTAATATTCTTGAAACTTGTATCATTTGTCTTGTAACATTTTCTTGATTACCACCGTTTCACCTATTTTTATACTTTTTGCCACAAAAACAATTCCAAATTTCTACGTATCCACTATCTATTTCTATATTTTTTTGCCTCAAATTTTTTTTTAAATGTCCACGTGTTAATCATTCGCTCGGCTCAAAAACTAAAAATGTGTCTAGATAAACCATTGTTGCCATTTATAATTATGACGATTGTGTGACATGTTTTAATATTAATTTTATCTATTATGATAATCTATAATTGTTTATTTTTGTACAAACTTTTTTGAATTATCTTCTAGCAATAGAGAAAATGATGACCTATTGTCATCGTTTCACCTATTGCCATACTTTTTGATTCAATATATATCCAAATGTGTACGTGTCCATCATCTTTATATTTTTTGCCTGAAAAGCAATTTCAAATGTTTCGGCGTCCATTATGCGCTTTGCAAATCAGTTTATGATGTGGTTTGATTATAATCTTCGAACTGATTCTCGTTGAGAGTTTATTCAAATGACTTTGTGGAAGCTCATCATGCTTTAGAAGGTAAAAATTTCTCAAAAGATGTAACCATCTTTAGTTAGTTATAACTAAAGTGGAGGTTACTCTACATATTTGTATAGATTTTTTAGTGTGCACTAGTCATAGCTGCCATGTCACCAATCCGCGCACTTGGTATGTAGAGAGTAGATGTGTTAGTTGAAAGCGACACGTCAGCAATCCGTGTGCTTGTTAGGTAAGGATTGAGTGTGTTAGTTAATGTGTTAATTGGAAGCGACACGTCAACAATCCGTGTGCTTGTTAGGCTATCCGTCACGTCACACATCCACTAGGATTGAGATGGATGGTGGATATAAGATCTTATCTCCTTGTACTTGTTAATAACTGCTATATAAGTGACACGAGAACCATTGTTGATATCTCTCATCTTCAGAGTTTATGTTTTTATTTTCGAGTGAATTTATCTCTAAACCCTAGTATTACAATGATATCAGAGCAACCTTCATATTTCCTTGAGTGTCGATTATCCCTCATGGAATAGCAAGTGAGTGATGATAGAGTGTAGTTTTGAGAGTGTATAGAGATTGTGAGAGGTTATTGATCTGCATGTAGAGAGTGAAGAAAAGGAAAAATTGTGATTTTGCATATGTGTTTGATAGGTATACAATACCGCACTAGTCAATTCCTATATTTATTCCATATTTAGTTTTGTTGCATGGAAAAACATCATTTTTGGATGTACTTTGTGGCTTGTTGAAGTACAGATTTTATAACTAGAGTGATGAAGTCAAGAGTGCATTTGATTCTTCAAATAGTTAGTTATAGAGAGATTTGAAATTGTACCATATACATTCTATATTGAACGTTTCATGGATTTGAATTGCAAATCATTTGTCCTACTGCGTTTCAACATTTATATAGAGATTAGAACAATATACTGACATAAGAGATTGTGGAGAGGTTTTCTTGTGAGTAATTGTGGGGGAAGAGTGATAGATAGTGTGATAGAGTGTTTTATGCCTTTTGTGGCTCCTTTTTTTAGAGAACAGATAGTGATTATACGCACTTTGCATTAGAGTGAGTGCAAAAAATCATGATAACATCAATCCATATGGGTCAGGTTCTTAACGCAATCATGAAGGAGATGAAAAAGTTGAAAAAAAGATAGTAGATGGTCATATCAAGCAACAAGTCATGAAAGATAAAAATTTTGCATTTGAGAGTGAGAAAATAGAGAGAGAAAGAGTTGGAGAGATGGAAGTTGAACCTCAAGTTCAAGCTTTCCAAGTTTAGCAAGAATCAACTCCTATTGATGTAGCAGAGTTCGGCCAGAACCAACTCTTATTAATGTAGTAGAGGCAAATCGGAAACGTCTTCAAGAGATTAAAGATCAAACAAATCTTTTGCTTCCAATGGGAGAATCTTGTAAGCTAGAAGCTTACGAAGGGAGTAGAGCAATGGGAGTGTTAGAGAAATGAATAATGAGGATGAATATTCATTTATTCTATTTTCATGTTTCTGATTACATTGCAGAAATGTTCATGAGATTTTATCTTACGGATAAGGTTCTCACATGGTACACAACATGGGAAAAAATACTTTCAGAACGATGTGCTACCATTTCGTGGAGTGGAATGCTGGAAGTAATTCTACAAAATTTTCAAGCGGTGGACTCTCTTCAACTTGCAAGAATGAAGTTGTGGGATTTGAAGCGGAAAGGAGAAATCCATTAGTACATTGAAAATTTTTGTGATTTTTAAGTATTTATCATGGATATGATTGGAGCAGAAGACTTGAACGTGTTCAAACGAGACTTGAAGGATTGAATTCAAAAAGAAGAAATGATAAGCAATCCATCCACAGTAAATGAAGCAATTGCTCAACAAATTTTGGGTGTTTTTGGTGTCACACACGGTGAACGAGTAAACCATTTTCAAGATCAATTTGGCCCAACTTCAATGGAATTGGCAAATTTTTTTACGTATAGAAGGTTTTGCACCTTTAATAGCAGATAATTACCGAAATGTAGCATAATGATAGCATGATTACGTGGCAAAATAGCTTATAGTGTGTTTGGTCTAGTCAATGCGGCCAACTTTGATCATGACAATTACGTGACTAGTATCACTTTTGTCTATCATAGTTGTTTCAATCTTTATGTCATTGTTGTGATTAATCTTGAAATCTTTTGATCAATCTTTACAATCATAAGCTAAAAGTCTTTGATTTTGGGAGTGCTAAAATATTGGTGAAATGTGAAAGGAGAAATCCAATATTTTGTGTATATGTATTTTATACTATGGAGCACGTGAGCTAATATTTGACACCATAAAGTACACATCAGTCATTGACTTGTGGTCAATGGCTTGCGTAATGACTGAGTTGTTAGGCAAGACTTTAATTTCAAGAAAAAGTGATGTCTGACCAACTTGTGAAAATTGTAAGATCCTTAGAACATCCATTTGCGAGGAGATCAAGTGTATGAATCCTTATTATACCAAATTTAGATATTATCAAAGAAAGACCTACCTTGTCACCAAATTTTTCACAAGATTATGTCACTTAAAGGTTGTGGATCAAGTATTAAGGCAATTGCAAATTGTTTTAAATTTACGATGCATTGCTTTGGAGGCATGCATACATTAGTTTTTTTACGAGATCAAAGATTTGACTTTTAATTTCAAACCACAAGAATTAGAATATTTCACACATGATATCTTGCAATGCTTCATAGCCACAAATTTTGTAGGTTTTCTGATGAAGACCTTGATGTTCACGTGAACATAGTCCAACGGTGACAAATCACGTCAATCTTGTTGGTGTTATGTATGCGTCTTCTTTTGACATTTTCAATTTTTTTAAAGAATTTTTTTATGGATTTTTTTCTTTTTTGTTAGAATTGATTACAGACAATGATGAAGCATTTTGTTTCATTGTTACAAACAATAAAGACAAGTTATTTGTGGAGCACAATGCCAATTCTAACGTAGTCAAAGTCGGATACGCAAACTCCAACAAGGAAGTTTTTCGTGAACATAGCCCAAGGGTGACAAATCACGTCAATCTCGTTGGTGTTATGTATGTGTCTTCTCTTGACATTTTCAATTTTTTTAAAGAAATTTTTATGGATTTTTGTGTTTTTTATTAGAATTGATTACATATAATGATGAAGCATTTTGTTTCATTGTTACAAACAATAAAGACAAGTTATCTGTGAAGCATAATGTCGATTCTAACAGAGTCAAAGTCGGATACGCAAACTCCAACAAGGAAGTTTTCAAGAAATACTTTTGGTCTTACAAAAATTGATAAGAATACCAAGAAGAGTCATTTTTTAGTTAAAGATTTGGAGTGAGAAGCACTTACAGACATACTCAAGAATTGTAATACTATGAAGACTTACACGCGGAAATGATGTTGAACATAGTTGGACAGAAATACAAGCTAGCATTTTTTTAGAACCATGAAATCAGCACTAGCTTCACATTTGAAGGAGAGCATTTGCCGTCATGATTGCATCAACTCTAGAAAGGTAAAAGATATTCTTTCAATCGGAATTCAAAAAGTAGGAATTGAAATTGGAGGCGGATGCGTTTGAAATTTCCACGTGAAATCTTCACAATAAGAAAGATTGGCATTAGCGTTTCAAAAAAATGATGTATCTGTGTTGATAGAAAAAGCAGTGTGTTTGACCTTATACAAATCATAAAAACTGCGCCACATTTGATTTAGGAAAGACAATGGAAAGGGAAAACTTTCCTTGCATGAGAAACTTTGCTTAGCAATACTGCGATTTGGCTCACTCCTCCAAAAATTGTTAATTCCATACTCCTAGACAAAATGAAATTCAAATTTGACATGATTTATGATCCTCACCTTGGACAAGTGAATATATGTTTAGTTCATGATTTGACCTACTCTAAGTACTGCTAGTGCCTTTTCCAAACTCCATCATTATTTCCCTTTTTGTAACATGGGATTTCATGCCATAACTGTTATTTGTATTTTAGTATTTATTGGTGCTGTTGGAAAATCTGCACAGATTGGATTGCATACTTGGCTACCCAATGCAATGGAGGGTTTTATAATATTTTAGGGCTCTCATGTGCCATTAGGTACGTGTCAATTTTTTGCCTTTAATTAATCGGACACAAGCAAGACATTGAAAAAAATTTCTTAGCTATCAAATGTTGATGTTTCTTCTTCATTCAAAATTCTATTATTGTCATCATTTTTTAGATGCACTTTGAAAGCAAAAAGATTGTTAAGATCTTTAATACTCACGGCGATAAGACCAAGTTCTTCTTTGAAGCTTAGAGATAAAAATTTATTTTTGATACCGTATTTTTTTGTTGGATACTGCTGATGAGATAAAAAACATTTGCTCTAATGGAAAAAAAAGTAACGGCACAAAGACATGCCAAAAAGATCTAACGATGACAAAACAAATTTTGGCAAAAATTCTTCTTGATGGCAATTGAAGTAAAAAGTTCTTACAGTAGAAAACTAAATGTTTCTAAAAAGAATTCAATGATAGCAGGAACAAATGGCGGAAAATATTGAAAGAAAGGAATGGAAAAAAAATTGAGTTGTTGATAGTAACTCAAGTCTCATATTGAACTTAAGTTGATCTAACTTAAATTACGATTAGGGTAGGCTTATCCTAGTTAGAATTAGACTTAGACTTTTTGCTATCAAATATATTTATTTATTTATCTATTTATTTATTTAAAGAGTATGACAAGATTTAGCTCTCTTCAGCGGTCGGCCCGGCTCGGCTCCGGCTCGGCTCGGCTTGAGCCGCTCATACATGGAGCCGGCTCAGCTTGGAGCAGGTCGCCGAGACAGGAGCCGGCTTCACCAGCCTCTACGACAAAATCTTACCAAACGACGGAAACACGTCAAGTCGGAGCTCGTGTGTGGCCATTGTGGCCGTAAATTGTTTACAAATGATAGAGTTGTTGCTTGTGATTCTGCGCCATGCCGCAGCAATAGTTTGCGGGTGTTTACTGTTTAATACGATCATGACCTTGCGCTCACGGTGCCTGGACATCCTTGAGAGACTAGCAGCTATTCGTCGTCATCGCCGGCTTCGCCATCAGACTTGCGTCCGTGATCGTCGCTGAGCAGATACTCGATCACCGTATCCTCATCAGCGGCCTCCTTGAGATTGATCTCCTTCTTGTCGCGCAGCTGCTTGTATGCCGCATGCCAATCAGTCGGCAATTCGACATTCAGCGAGCGCAGCAGCTTCAACCAGGAGCTGCAGCAAATCTCGGCCTTGAATGATGCTTCGTGGAGCATTGCACGGTCGTCGAAGATGCGCTTTGCGAGCGAGTTGGCGCGCTCCGCCGGGATTGATCACGACGATCATCGAGTGGATCAGATCGAGTGGATCAAGATCACGGAAGCAAGCAGCAGCTGATGATATCACAAAGCAGACACAAATCACAATTCACAAAACACAAATCGCTATGCTCAAAGTCAATCCAGAGCTCTACGGCGAGCGGAGATCGGTCCCAGCGCCATCACGGCAACAGGCCAGCAGTCCGGAATGGCAAATTGCCATTCCGAATCATTAAAAACATTGATTGCCATTGGCAATCAATGTATTCGGCATTAGACAATATTTGCGGTACATATCAGATAAGGATGCCGGCTTGACCAAGCTCGCAGCCGAGCCGGTCAGAAGCCGGCTCAAGCCGGCTTCTGAGGAGCCGAGCCGACCGCTAGCTCTCTTTGAAAACTTCATAGATTTATTTGATAAAAATCTAGTTATTCTCGTGGACTTAGCTCAAGAGTGACAAATCACATTTTTTTCTTGTTTCTTGTTGACATTGTGTATGCGTGTTCTTTCAACAATCTTGTTTATGGATATGTGAATTTCCTTGATTATTGTAAAACTTCTTCATAAAAAGAGAAGTTGCGCAATATGTTATGACTATATGAATCTTATATGAATTTTAGATTGAAGCTATCACAACCACAATGTATTTGATATTTTTTTCTCCATTTGATGCAATTAATTTTTTGACACCGTTTGTATTGAGGCACAAACACACGATTGATTATATTAATTCAAAAAGTTTTACTTTATAATCTAGAGATAAAGTTAGATCTTACATCCAAAAAGTTTGGTTTTCTTGAATATGCTAGTGATGTAGAAAAGTATAAGCAATGAAATGCATTAGTTCATAATGTTATTATCAGTATGGATGTTTCACTTAATGAACCCTGATCGTTGAAAAAGGAATAGATTTCTCATGCTACTCATACCAACAAGCAATAATTTACACTTGATGATATAGTTTATGAAGAAATTGATCAATATGAATTTTATAATCTGACACAAAAAAAGTGTCGATACAGTTATAGCAAAACAAAAAATAGCAAGATTTGAAGAAAGAAATTATTGTTGATGAGACTCAAGTTATCACTTTAGAAGACAAAGATTAAACTATTAAATCATCTATTAGAAGGTCATCAATTAGATTGATAAAGCTTCTGCAAAACATGAAATATGAATTAATTCATCCATTCTTGAAGATCATGATATTGAGATTGAGGATGATGATAACAATGCACTGATTTTGAAAAGAAAAAAAAAAGATTTACAAAAGAGGTCAAGACTTTGCCAATGGATTTGTATAAAATATTACTATGAAAAGATGAAGCATGAAATGCAACTGGTGATGAATGAAAAGAAGTGAAAATTAATTGAGCTTGGAATGAATAACAAGAATTTAACTTACAAGTTGAAGCAAAATATAGCATATGAATAGAAAAAAAATTCAATTTCAAGTTAATAACTAGAAGTTTCATAATAAAATGATGTTGTGAAATACAACAAAATTTTGTCATTTTTACCAAAATATGCTACAATTCAACTAATATATGCATTTGATGTAATGTTTTGTCCGATTATGGATCAGATAGATGTTATTACATCAAAAAATTATGAATCTTTGAAGTAAACATTTTATATAAAAAAATAAGACCAAATAAATTGATTTATAGATGCTTTACATCATTATATGATTAGAGCAAGCTTCTAGGTAGTGAAATGCAAAGTTTGATGAGTTCATGATTGCATAATGAAATTTCAATTTTGATTACTTTAGTACTTTACATGGATGACATGTTTATTTTGCAAAGAATTTGACTTCAACATATATAAGAATCAATTTAAGTCTCAGAATGAAACTTTGTGTAAGTTCAAAAAGATATTATAGGTACACGTTTATAGGGTTTTGAAAAAAATAATTTATGAATATATCAAATCAAATACAAGGTTTAACATGAACAGGTTCAATATGCCAAAAAATATAAACTTCTTTGACATCAGATTTCAAACTTAATGCAGATTCATGTACAATTATTGTCATTGAGAAGTCAAAGATGTCATCAATTTTTTAAAACATTAAAATAGTTAGTCTTACGTATTTGATAGTATGCAGCAGATCTAATATTCGTCTAGCTTCAAAAAGTGAGCAAATATATTTTTAATATGAGAAAATTGTGAAGTGAGTTCTCAAGTATCTCAAGAGTACTAGGAATGTTTGATGACTTATCAGACAATGTCAAATTCTTGCTAGGCCTATGTTGATGTTGATTATGAACAAAATCTAGATAAAAAAAGTTTCTATACATGGATATTTATTTACACTTGATGATGAACTAATTAATTGAAGATTTACTTTGTAAAAAATCATATCTAAGTATACAACATAAGTTGAATATGTATTGTTAGTGAAAGCAGCAAAGTAAGCTATTGGATTAAATAGACTCTACTTGATAATTTTGATTGATCTATATTGCATGATGTAGTCTTTTGAAGCTCATAAACAATAATTTTTTGCTCTTCATAACTTTGCTCTTCATAACTTTGCTTCACATGTATAAAAGTTTTACCTTATGTGATATTATTAAAATTATAATGATCAATTTTTCCCTCAATAAAATATGTGAGTGATTTATTGTCCTTGTCAATATGTAAAGCTTGAAAATTATTTGACTTTTTCAAAGAATAGTACTCATATAAAAACATTAAAAGAAACGTCTCTAACTACAATAACTTTACATGCTTTTTAATTCCATGATCCATAATACTTCAAGCCGTTAGCATATTATAAAATATAATACTTTGTGGTAGTGCAGTTTTTTTGTTTTTTCAGAAATAGAGCAATTAGGACGGAAATTCCATGTCGTTTTTAACTTTTGAGGTAGAAGTAATTAGATTACAATAGAATAGGTCTTTTTACGCCAAAAGTTAGGAAGGAATAGTAAACCCAAAGGATCTTCAATAGAAGCGGTTGGTCTTCGGAGCTTGGCGAGGTCATAATCCAAAGTAACGGATAGGGAAGTCCCAAGTAGAGGTGGGAGGTACGAAGACCTAACTCCTCCGAATACCTTGTAGGGTATTCAGGCGGGGGTATTCGGTGTTCGCAGATGAGGACCTCAGAGTTCTCGCGGGCACCCAAGCGGCGAAGGATCTCCATGGAAGTAAACGATAGTGCCGCACGAGAAAGAATTTTGAATTGCGGCACCTTCAATTCACACGAATGGAAAACCGTTGCGACGACGGGGTATACTTGAGGGGGCGAGAGTTTGGTGCCCACATTCCACAAACACATTTCGCAATTGACGAGAGATTGGCGTGCGGAAGCTCGAACGAGAGGAAGCTGCGATGGCGCTTCCGATAAAATTATTCGCTCTGAAGGTTCCCAAGGTAGGACTGCGAGCTCATCGTTGTGATTTAATACTCGCGAAGATAGACTTTTTGCTGTGGGGTTGGAATTGGGCTAGCGAGACGATAGTGCAAGAATGGGATAATAATGGTTTGCCAAAGCCGCCTGGCTATCAAGGAAATTCTGAGACATGGCAAATTTGGGATTGGAAGAAGATCCTTGGACGTTGCGCGGGTGACGATGGCGATCTTACCTTTCACAATGAGAGTGTCAAGGTAACAATAGAGGAGGAAAAGGATTATGCGACTCTGTTCAAGCACCCGCGCACCGGGAAGAATGACTATCGCACCATTTGGTATCACGACCGACTCAGACGAAATGTCGTAATGGCGTTGATGTAGATTATTTGTCTCGCTCGAACCACTTAC